TTGTGGCCCTGGAAAGTCACCCCTCACCCCCAAACCAAACAAAACAGAAGGACCTGAGCAGGTGGAGGACAGTGGATGAGTGCTATGTGATGGAAACTGCCCACCAGACCAGATTAAAATGAGATCCCCAGACTTTGGGACCTCACAAGGTATGCCATCAGGTTCAGCCAGTTCCAAGGAAGATGGGAGGAACTTTGGCAGCGGTTAAGAACAGGACGGGGAAGTTCAGGTGAGAGAAGAAAACTTATGTTCTGTTTCCCTCACAGCAGAAATTGGAACCACAACGCCTTTTCCCCATATGGCTTTGTATCATCCGTCCCTCCTATTTCTCCATCCTCATCCACCTCTCTCTGAGGCAGGTACCATGCCACAGAGAGCCCTCTCTCCACAACAGTGATGGGTTACTGGAAACTGACTGAGGGAAGAGATGGAGAGCAAAAGCAGGTTCTCTGACAAGGTCTTGCTTCCCTCAACAGCACTGCTGGGGTTTCCTTCTCATCATTAATAATGAAATGTTGAGTGAAAGGAAGATATTCAAGAACCTGCTCCCACCGGCCAAGCTCTTCCATCTCAGGGCCTCTGCACTGACAGCCCCCCTCCCCCACCGTTGTTCCTTCATCTCTTTATGTTTACATTTTGGGGCTGCACCGTCAGTACTCAGGGGTGACTTTCAGTAATCCTCTGGGGACCGTGTCGTGCTGGAGGTCAAACCCAGGGCTTCATGCATGCACTGAGCTATACCCCTGCTTGTTCCCTTGACTCTCTAAATGGCAGATGCCTTCTCAGGTTCAATTTCACATCAGATCACACTTTCCAAAACCTCTCTTTGACAGCCACACATCAAAAAGACAAGAACAACCAGTGCTGGCACGGGTGTTAGGAGAAAGGCTCTCTCAATGACTGCTGGTGGGAATGCTGATCGGTTCAGCTTTTCTGGAAAACAATATTGACATTCCTCCAAAACTAGAAATTGAGCTTTCATTGACCCAGCAATACTGCTCCTGGGAGTATACCCTAATGGCCCCAAAACACACTGCAGAAAAGCCATCTTGTACTCTTATATTCATTGCAGCACTATTCACAATAGTCAGAATCTGAAAACAACCCAAGAACAGATGAATAGAAAAACTAGCGTACATCAACACAATGGAATACTACACAGCCACTAGGGGCAAAAAAAAGTCATGAAATTTGCTTATATATGGATGGACATGGAGAGTCTCATGTGCAGTGAAGTGAGTCAGAGGGAGAGGAACAGACCAAACCATCACACTCATTTGCAGGATATTAAAAAACATAGTATAAGGGGCTGGAGAGATAGCACAGCGGGTTAGGGCATTTGCCTTGCACGCGGCCGACCTGGGTTCGACTCCCAGCATCCCATATGGTCCCCTGAGCACCGCCAGGAGTAACTCCTGAGTGCAGAACCAGGAGTAACCCCTGTGCATCGCCAGGTGTGACCCAAAAAGCAAAAAAACAAAAAAAAAACCCATAGTATGAGACTAATACCCAAAGAACATAGAAATGAGGAGGTTCATGGTAGGAAACCTCTCACCGAGTGAGGTGGGAGGAGTGCAGTTAGGCTAGAGACTTTGCTAATGATACAGGAATCATCACTCTGAGGGCTGAAAAGGGGTAAACTGACTCTGACTACTTTTCAGTAACAGTATTGCAGACTACAGTGCCTAACAGGAAAAATAAAAAAAAGAAAAGTATCTGCTATAGAGGCAGGCAGGGGTGTGAGGGGGAACGGGCAGAGAGGGAAACTGGGAATATTGGTGATGGGAAATGTACACTGGTAAAGGAATGGGTGTTGGAATATTGTTTGATTTAAACCCAATCATGAATAACTTCATAACTGTATCTCACTGTGATTCAGTTAAAATATAAGTAAAATGTAAAAAGTCATTTAAAATGCTCTGTGTTCTCTAAATGCCCTGTTTATTTCCTTACATCAGTGAAGAGCTTTGGACATTGACAGGCTCCTTGTCCCTCATGTTTCTGGGGGCAGTGAATGACCGGTGGCAGTTCAGGAATGTCTGGTTTGCCATATGCCAGGGGTGCTGAGCCCCTCCAGCCCCACCTGGGCACCTGCCAGCCTCCTCTCCAAGTCGCGGCCCAGATGCCAAAGACCTGAGTCCTTGGGGCTTACAGGCGTAGCTGTGCTTCCTCCAGGATTCAGCATGGTTCAGGGGAGCCCATTCCCCACCTTTTCATCCTTCCAGCACCTTGCCGGAGACAAGATAATCTGACACTGGGGCTAAGCCACACTCATTTGGAGTCTCTCTGAACAATCCATGCTAAGCCTGCTCCTCCCCTTGCTGGCCTGGGGATCCCCCCCCCTCTGGTAAGGACAGAGAAACCCTTGGCATGTCATTTATCTGTCTCTCTAAAGGGACTCTTCCAGTTCTTCACTGCAGAAGGGGCATCCCTGCCCCAGTTGCTGCTTGTAGAGGGGCATTTCCTGACCTCACTTTTGAACCTGCTGATATTTTTTTCTTCCCAGCAATTACCTAGTGCCTAGCTTCTCAGTTTTTGTTGTTTTTTGGGGCCACACAGTGGTATTTAGGGGTTACTCCTGACTCTGTGCTTAGGAATTACTTCTGGTGGTGCTCAGGGGACCATGTGGGATGCAGGAGATTGAATCCAGGTCAATCATGTGCAAGGCAAGCGCCCTACCTGCTATACTATCACTCCAGCCCCCAAATCATCTTGTTTTCACACTCAGTGACTTACTTCTGGCTCTGTGTTCAGGAATCACTCCTGGCAGGTGCCTAGTGCTTAGACGGTGAGTCATGATCCCCCCTATCTGGGGTCGCATAACTGAACTAGGGCATCACAGAAATACTGGCAACTGCAAAATATTTCTGAAGGCACAACCACCACAAGGAAATGAAAAGCAAGTGCGTCATGAATCCGAGGTGGTTTTGGCAATGTGCTTGCCCATATTTTCTCTGGTGAGAAATGTACTTTCGCAAGTGGGAATGCTGAAGAGCCCTGAAGTGGTGGTGATTATCTGTCCCATTGGCTCTGGCTGTCAGAGACCCAGAAAGCTCACAGAAGTGGTTTTGTCCCTACCAGGACCACCTGTGCTTGCCTGAAGGCAAAGGGCAGAGTTTAAAGGACTTGTGGGCAATGAAATGCTGAGATCTGCAGAAGGGCCCTGGTCGGGGGGTGCTGCCTAATCCTGCAGAGTTGGGGATGGGGTGGACGGTGGATCCACATTCCGGTTCACATCTAGGGGAAGGGGGAAGTAGGAAAGTGTTCCTTCTAGACATGACCCAGCTGGATCTGATGAGCTGGTCAAGGACAACCTCAGAGCAAACTCGGGTAGACTGTGGTTGTGATGACCTTGGGCTATTGGTGGTCACTCCTCTCAACTCACCCTCCAACAAGGAAGTTTCTTGGACTGGGGAGATGGGTCTCAAAGAGTAGACCTCCTGGGGACTGGAGCAATAGCACAGCGGATAGGGCGTTTGCCTTGCACGTGGCCGACCCGAGTTCAATTCCCAGCATCCCATATGGTCCCCTGAGCACCGCCAGGGATAATTCCTGAGCGCAGAGCCAGGAGTAGCCCCTGTGCATCACCGGGTGTGACCCAAAAAGCAAAAAAAAAAGTTGAACTCCTTTGCGTCTCAGGAGTCTCAGATTAGGCCCCAGGTACCGCATGGTCCCCAGAGCTCCATCAGGCGTGGGTCCTGAGCATCATGCCAGAAGCACTGCCAGGTGTGGCCAAAAAATTAAAACATTCTTTTTGGTCCACACAAGCACTGGTCCAAGAGTTTGGGGACTACTCCTGAATTGGTGCTCAGTAGTGGGGGTTAGGGGAATGGTTCCCAGAAAATGCTCAGGCCCCTCCTACGGTTTCTCAGCCCACCCTGCCTTATCCAAAACTCTAACCCAGCAGATCTCAGGCTGAATCTCATCTCTGTGGGCCCAGAGAACCTCCTCCACTAGATTATAAGTCTTTCTCCGGAAAGAACCAAATGTTACTTGGGAGCATGTGCTAAACAGAAAGCCTGGCCAAGCAGCGGGCTGTGGGTGTCTGAGGAAATTCTGGCTGCTCTTACTGAGGTGGGGGTGGCTGTGCCATGTGGTTCAGCTACGATGATGATGATGATGATGACGCCATGGATTCTAACCCAAGAAGCCCTCTTTTGGGGCCGGAGAGACGGTACAGGGATAGTGTGCTTGACTTGCAAGTAGTCAACCGGGGTTTGATCCCCAGCACTGTATATAGTCCCCTCCATGAGCACTGTGTGAAAGGAGACATGCCTGAACAGAGTCAGGAGATGAGCACAGCAGGTGTAGCCCAACATCACCCCTACCCCCTGCAGAAAATGAAAAGGAACCCCAAGGATCTTCCCTGAGGACCCGATACCCAACATCTCAGCTTGATTCCCTACAGGTGGACTGACTCCCACACCCAAGGGAAACGCTCAGGATTACTCCAACCTCTCCCCGCTGCAAAGAGTGCAGAGACTTGGGGCCTGGTCAACAGACTGAGCTGGAGAGTCACATCCCCCCCGACTCTGCTACTCCAATCTTCCATCCTCAATCTTCTGAGGATTAGCAGCAGAAAGGAACAAAAAATCCCACTGCTGGAGCTGGAGAGAGAGCACAACAGGTAGGGCGTTTGCCTTGCACATGGCTGACCTGGGTTCGATTCCCAGCATCCCATATGGTCCCCTGAGCACTGCCAGGAGTAACTCTGAGTGCAGAGCCAGGAATAACCCCTGTGCATTGCCCGGTGTGACCCAAAAAGCAAGGGAAAAAAAAGCCCACTGCCCAGCACCCCCCATACCCAAGAAATTCAAACAGCTGGGAGTGGGAGTGGAGACTCCAAGAGCAGCTAAACTCGAGACCCTGAGAACTAGAATGAGGGACCTTCAGGAGCCTGAGAAAGCCTACGGCCTAGACTTGCTGGCATCCCAATTCAGGCTTTTGAGAAAATTAATACAATTGCAAGAGAAACTGGGACAATACACAGAAGTGGCTCTGGCCAACCATATTTAATAATCCTGAGCGGGAGAGGGTTGAAAGCTATTCAGTAGATTCCCTAAATCAGCAAGGCAGAGCTCCAGATGCAAAGGATCGAAAGGAGGGATTGTCACCTATGGCAAGGCCACAGATAAACAAACAGGATTCTGGGTCCCCGTGGGAGTCTGGGAGCAGACTGGAGTCTGGAAGGCAGCTGTGGCAGGTGGTGTTGGTTGGACACCAGCTTCTGGGCTGGCCCTACTCCCTTTCCCGGTTCTGGGCAGAAAGAGAGAGCAGGCGAGTGGCTCCAGAGAGCGGTGGTGAGACGTGAGTGGCCTGGGGCCTGCCGAGGGAACCAGCTCACTTGTATTTCTTGGTGGGGAACTCCCGCCGGCCTTGGCCTTGACCTTTGCCACCAAAGTTGCGCACCCGGTGGATGAGCTGCAGCTGCTTCTCGATGGTGGCGGTGATGTTCACGTCATCTGGGATATGGACGTAACGGACGTTCCGGCCTGTCACAAAGAGGTCATCCAGCTCGACCTGATGCCCCCAGCGGTCCGTGTAGGTGACTCTGGCCAGGCGGATGTTCATGAAGGCATCGACATTGTCTATGCGTCCACGGGCCACGCTCTCGTCCCGCAGGTCCACGGTGGTGACCTGGCCTTGCAGTCCCTGCAGAAGGATGATCAGGCTGTTCTCGGAGATGGTCCGCTCCTTCACCGAGTGGCTCACTGCCATCCTCCCAGACCACTGGCAGCTGGCTATGGGCGAAGCTCAGATGGGAGCTGGAATGGGAGGGAGGACAGGTGAGTTTCTGCTTGGCTGCTGCGCCCCAGAGGTTCTGATTCATTTATTTGCTCGGGGCAGGGGCAGGTTTTCTATTTTCTAAGAGTTTTCCAGGTTACAATAACGTGCGGTCAAGTTTGAGAACCACTGGCCTGAAGTGCAGACTTTGGGGCCTGGAGAGAGGGCACAGCAGTTAAGGGTGCTTGCCTTGCATTTGCCTGACCCAGGTCAATTCCTCGCATCCCATATAGTCCTGAGCTGCCAAGAATAAACTCCTGAGGGGCTGGATCAATAGCACAGCGGGTAGGGCATTTGCCTTGCACGCGGCCGACCCGGGTTCGATTCCCAGCATCCCATATGGTCCCCTGAGCACCACCAGGAGTAATTCCTGAGTGCAGAGCCAGGAATAACCCCTGTGCATCACTGGGTGTGACCCAAAAAGCAAAAAAAAAAAAAAAAAAAAGAAAGAATAAACTGAGCATCACTGGGTGTGATTTAAAAACCAAAATAAACTAATTTGTTTTCGCTTTTTGGGTCACACCCAGCGATGTTCAGGTGTTACACCTGGTTCTGTACTGAGGAATTATTCTAGGCAGTGCTTGGGGGATGATATGGGATGCTAGGGATCAAACCCGGGCCGGCCGTGTGTAAAGCAAACACCCTCCCCGCTGTACTATCACTTTGGACCCAATAAATTAAAAAAAGTGTAGACTACACCATGCTACTCAGTCTTGTCTGTGGATCAACATTTTTAGCATCCCCAGCCACTTGCTAAAAATGCAGACCCTCTGGTTGTTGCCCTTTCCTTCTCCATTTGAACACAAATGAACCTCTATGATAACCACCGGGCCCCAGAGGTCACTCTACATCAGAGTCACCTGGAGGACTTGTTAAATCACAGATCATTGAGATGGGGCCGGAGATATGTATCAAATGTGAGATTCCCTCTCTGGCACAGAGTGCTACCCCATCCCAGCATCACCAGATATGGACTCCAGAACAATAAGAAAATAAAGAAATAAATAAAACAAACAGCCCCACTAGATAACTAGATCTCACTTCCGGTGTCTAATGCAGATGTGAGGCTGAAGCAGTGCTTGCTCCTGGTGGTGCTCCAGTGGCCGTCTGGTGCCAGGAATTGAACCTGGGGTCCCTACATGCGAAGCATACACTCCATCTGAGCCATCTCCTGGCCCCCAATAATCTTTTTTTTTTTTTGGCTTTTTGGGTCCACACCAGGTGATGCTCAAGGTTACTCCTGGCTCTGCACTCAGGGAACACTCCTGATGGTGCTTGGGGGATTGAACCTGGGTTGGCCACATGCAAAGCAAACACCCTATCCACTGTACTATCACTTCGGCCCCAATAATGCATCTCTAATATGTTCTCACGTGAGGGTCTGGAGAGATAGTACAGGAAGTAGGGTACTTGCCTTATATGCTGCCGACCTGGGTTTAATCCCTAGCATCCCATACGGTCTCCTGAGTACCACCTGCAGTAATTCCTGAGTGCAGAGTCACCAGTAACCCCTGAGCATTGCTGGGTGTGGCCCCCAAACTAAAACGATTTTAAATGAAACTACTAAGGAATGTTCTAATTTGATAATGACATCGATGATCAAGAGCCCACCCCTGAGAAAAACTGTTCCACATCAGCAGTTTTCAACCTCTTTACACCTGTGCTAGGGCAGAAATAAAAAACATTATCTATAGAAATAATACATTTGTCATATGTATATCATATCTTATAGTGCTCCGCTACATGACACAGGGACATCAGTGTGCTAAATGGCAATTACGTTTTCGTGGACTGGCAGGAAATTTTTGTGGAAGGACCTGTGGAAGGGTTGGAGGACCTGCCCTTCAAAACCATCCTACAGCTGCCAGATAAATAAAAAAGTTGGCGGATTAGAAAACAAAAGGGGCCTGGAGAAAGCACAGCGGTTAAGGTGCTTCTTTGTATCCCACCAACTCCTCTTGAATCAATCCCCAGCATTCCCTAAGCACCGCTGAGGAGTGACAAGTGCCTCTCCCGCCCCCCCCCCCCCAAAAAAAAAGGGTTAGTATAAATATTTGGAAGGTAAAGGAATGCCAGGGCGGGCTTCCTACTCGACCACAAACTGAACGCCAAGGAGAGCTACTGAATGCCGCTAACGGACCCAACTGGCCAGTCATACTCTGGTCTCAGCGTGCTGCTCGGTGCTGGGTATGACACCGCATCTAGCCCCCCATCTCGGACCCGGAGCGGACGGTGGCGGGACTTTCTCTGCAGGCTGTGCGACTGCACCGAGAATTCCGAGGGCGAGCTGCGGGGGGCGTGAGGACAGCACCCCGGGGGTGCTGACCCGCACCCGGGCATCCCCGCCGGGCGGCCGGACCCGGCTCCAGGCGTTGCCGCGCAGTATGGGTCGGTGGGCCGGCGGGGTGGGCGCGACCCCGCACGCCCCGAGAGCCACGCAGCCGCGGGAAGACAACGCCGCCTCCCCCGCTCACCTCGGCATCGAGGGTTCCGGGTCGCCCCGCGCTCCGCCCCGCGCTCCCAGCCCCGCCGCGCCGACTCCTTCCGCTTTCCGGGTCCCGGTCGCCGCCGCCGCCGAAGTCAGTGGCGGGACTAGGAGGCCACGAAACCCGCGGGACCGCTCTGCCCTGCGGGAGCATAGAGTGCCGCCGGCGCCCTGCAGAGAGAAACTACAACCCCCAGAATGCCTCGCGGGCGCCGCGCACGCCCGAGGCGCGGCGGAGACTACAACGCCCAGAATGCCTTGCGGCCGGTCAAGCCCCTCCTCCCATTCCACCCCTCCCCCCTCCACCGCCCCGTCTTGTTCCTGGCGGGGGGGGGGTCCATCGTTCATTCACTTGAATGTTCTTGGGCCCTTCCTTTGGCTTTAGGGCCTCTTCGTGGACTCTTAGAGCGGTGAGACATGCTCCCTGATTATAGGATCACGTGCTAGCGACCGGGTGGCCCTTTATCCATGGCCTGGGGTGTCCTAAGGTGGTGACATTTAATCCGAGATGCCTGGAATGAAACTAATGCTGTGAAAACTCGGAGAGGGGCACTGTGAGTACAGGGTACTCGGCGGACTTGAGCTTGGCCGCCTGGGAGATCAGAGCTGCCGTGGGACTGGGGCGAGCGCGTAGCCAAGGGCAGGAGAGGAAGGACAAAGTGAAAGTGTTGGCGGCTCTGTGAGTGCGGAGAAGGCACTGGATACAGTGCTCAGCCCTCTCCTCGCGAAGGCCAGGCCAGGCCAGGCCAGGCTCTGCCGTGCCCAGGAGGGCCTCCGCGAGCGAGCCAGGTGGGGATGACCCCTCACACTCAGAGCAGAGGCAGTGGGCATGAGGAGCTATGCACCGGGGTTGCCCACGTGTCCACTTTGTGGGCATAATTTCTCTTCATTTTATGGGACTCCTTCTCGCCTTGGACTTCCTAAGTAAGGGCGTTTCACTTGACTTTCTTCTCAAGAGTTTGATAGGTCCAGGCTGGAGTGCATGTCTTACACGAGCTGGCCCCAGCACACGGGGCCAGCCCAAGCCCTGAACCACCAGGCCCAGTACTGTAGGGAGTGACCCTGGGGTCTCCTTAGGCACGATTTGGGAAATACTCCCCTCCCAAAGGTAGAACAAGCAGAAAACAAAGTCGGGTGCCTCAGTTCACTTCCCAGCTCCCCTCCCACCTGCTCCCACAGTTAATCCATAATTCTACCACTGTTCAACCAACCCCAGTCACCAGCAACTCACTTCTCCATGGACTCCACGAGTAGAAAGTGGTGAGATGGACTCAGGGACTAGAAAGTTTGGGGTAACTTCTACCCATTGCTTCTACCTCTCTTCTATAGAAAACTGCCTTATTTTGTATACTGTTTTATTTGTGGGCTGGAGCGATAGCACAGTGGTAGGGCGTTTGTCTTGTGCACAGCTAGCCCAGCCGAGCCGGGTTCGATTCCTCTGCCCCTCTTGGAGAGCCTGGCAAGCTACTGAGAGTATCTCGCTCGCACGGCAAAGCCTGACAAGCTATCCATGACATATTCAATATGCCAAACACAGTAAAAAGTCTCAAAATGGACATGTTACTAGGCCTGCTTGAGCAAATTGATGAACAACGGGAGGACAGTGTTTTTTTTTTTTTTTTTCATTTGTTTGTTTTGGGAGGCGGTGGGATGGTTGGGTTATATCCAGTGATGCTCAGGGGATATTCCTGGTTCCACACTCAGGGGCAACCCTGGCAGTGTTCAGAAGACCATATGTGGTACTGGGGATTTGAACCAAGATCAGCAGCATGCAAGGCAAGTGCCTTAACTGCTGTACTCTCTTTCTGACCCCTAGATTAAAGTGTCTAATACAGTGAAACTAAGGGAAAGCACTAGATAAAATCAGGAGTAGACACCAGGTGTGAGGCATGGGAGCACATCTCAGGGAATGTCTGCCTGTAGCTCAGGGGAGAAGGGACAGGGAGATTTGTGGGTTGGCAGAAATGGTTGAAAGGGATCATCTGACTGGAAAAAAGTGACGCAAAACTGTTTGAAGAGGAGTGCTAACCACGCATGCAGACACACAGGGCAGAGAGACCATCTGGTGTTGGGGGTGAGAGTAAGGGTGGGGTGAGAGAAGGTGGTGAGGAACAGGGATGTTGAAGCCAGGGATGCATAAGGATTATGGAGCAACTGACCTGGCCACTCTGACAGACTGAAAAACTGGCTACATCAGTCTGCATCACACAGGGCCATTCTCAATCACAAACCTCCGAGGAGGAAGGTTGGGAACTTCTGAGGCCAGAAGCTACAAGAGTTTGAGGCCAGAGCGATAGAGCAGCAGAGTAGGGCAATCTGCCTTGCACATGGCTGACCAGGGTTTGATTCCTGGCATCTCTTAAGGTCCCTCGAGCACTGCCAGCAACCATCCCCGAGTAAACCCTGAGCATCGCTGGTTGTGGCCCCAAACAAAAACAAACAAAATGAAATTGGAAAAAGGGGTTTGGGAAGAAAAGTGTGTTTAGCAGGCCAAGCACCTCAAAAGCCAAGATGGGGAGCAGGAAAGTCGTCGGATGGACAATGGGGTACCTGGTTCCTGCGGTGATTTCCCAGAAGCACACGGGAGGCAGGACGGGATGTGGTGAGGAGACTGGGGCTCTGGGGAGAGGGCACAGAGGCCAGCCTGATGCTGTCGATGAAGAGAGAAGCCCCTGGAGAAACCAAGGAGCTGAGACTGAAGGGGTGGCTGGGAGGGGTCTGGCCACTGGAGCTCCTCTGTGGCCATTTGGATGAACCTCTGAGGGACGGGGAGAGGGCTGGGTGTGACAGAGGAAAGCAAGAGATGGAGGGAAGACTGGCTGAGGTGTACAGGTGAGCTGAGGGAGAACACACAAAGCAAGCATTATCCTCTCAGCTGAGGTCTTCCAGTTGCCCAAAACCCTGAGGCAAAAGTCCTTGGCTGACAATTGCTCCTTGGAAACGTGAAAAAAACATGGGCCCCAAGGTTTGAAAAGGGTGGGAAGATGAATGTGTGCACCCAGGATTTGGAATCTGTTTCTTTTTTTTTTTTTCTTTTTCCCTTGTTTTTGGGCTGTACTTGGGAGTACACGGGTTACTTCCGGCTCTGCACTCAGGAATTGCTCCTGGTGGTGCTTGAGGGAACTAAATGGGATTCTGAGGATCGAACCCAGGTTGGCCACATGCAAGGCAAACATCTTACCCACTTTCCCACATCTTGTTACAGCTCCAGGAGCCCCAGTTTCCTTCCCCTGCTTCTCCAGGGGAGTTTGGGTCACACCTGGCCGATGCTTGGGGACCATATGAGGTACCTAGAATCGAACCAGGGTTAGCTGTGTGCAAAGTGCCTTAATTCTTGTATAAGATCTCTCCAGCCCATTAATATTTATGATATTGTATACTATTTATGACTGGAGCTGGAGTGATTGCACAGCGGTAGGGCGTTTGCCTTGCTCGCAGCCAACATGGCCGACCCGAGTTCGATTCCTCCGCCCCTCTCGGAGAGCCCGGCAAGCTACCGAGAGTATCTCGCCCGCAGGGCAGAGCCTGGCAAGCTCCCCGTGACGTATTCGATATGCCAAACACAGTAACAACAAAGTCTCCAATGGAGACGTTACTGGGCCCGCTCGAGCAAACTGATTTATATGACATAAAATAATTTTATAGGACTGGGACTGGAGCAATAGCACAGCGGGTAGGGCGTTTGCCTTGCACACGGCCGACCCGGGTTCGATTCCCAGCATCCCATATGGTCCCCTGAGCACCGCCAGGAGTAACTCCTGAGTGCAGAGCCAGGAGTAACCCCTGTGCATCGCCAGGTGTGACCCAAAAAACCAAAAAAAAAAGTTTTTATAGGACTGGAGAGAGACTGGATAAGACTGGGTAAGGCTGCACCAGAACTGGGTAAGATTCACAAAAAGGGATGCGAGTCTTGGCGAGCCCTGAAACTAAAAGGATGTGTGAGCCACTATGGGCAGAAAGTGCCTCCTCGGACAAGCATGTGTGTGAGAAGCTCAAGCATAAGTGCTGTTCCTAAGAGTGTGACCTCAACTCCAGGAGCACAACCCCAGGAAAACTGCAGCCGAGTGTGCAACCACTGCATGTGGACATGTGGCCCCTGGGGAGCACCATACCCAGGGGATGAAAACAAAGGGGCCGAGAGATGGTAGAGTGGGAAAGGCGTTTGACGCCCTGCATCCCATAGTTCACAAGCCCCATCAGGAGTGGTCCCTGAGCACAGAGCCAAGAGTGAGTCCTGAGCACAGCCAGTTGTGGTCCCCAAGCCAGCCTCTCCCCGCCACCAAAAAAAAAAAAAAAAAAAAAAAGATAAAGTATCTGGGGAAACAAGGAAATAGCTGAAACAAGCTATATATAGTCTCTGGGTCTTGGCAGTTGATGGGATTACACAGCACCAGGGCAGTTGGTGGGTGTAATGCCTACATACTGGAGGATGGGGGATCTGGGTGAGGAGGCCCAGTCCCAATCCGAGCAGGCTTGGAGATCTACGCCCCAGGTCCTGCACACCTGGGTTCCTCTGCCGGTTCCGTCATGTGTGAGGCGCATCTGAACGTGTGGAGAGTGCTGTGGCGGGAACCGGAGGTCTTCAGGTGCGGGGGCTCTGCTCGGGGTGGGGAGGGAAACTCAACCCACCCTCCTCAAAGGGGTCCCGGTGAGGACAGCCAGGTGCGGAGGCAGGAGACTCTGCGCTGTTCTCTTCCGGGAGCTGGGTTTTATAGTCTCCAAGCCTACTCAGATTGGGACTGGGCCTCCTCCACCCAGATCCCCCATTCTCCAGTATGTAGGCGTTACATCCACCAACTGCCCCTGCCTGTGTAATCCCATCAATGGCCAAGACCCAGAGACTATAAAACCCAGCTCCCGGAAGCGCATGGCCGCAAATGCGGACGCGTGACATCTTATTATCTAGTTCTTACTCTGGAGAACCTGGCAGGCTACCAAAAGTATCCTGCCCACACGACAGCGTCTGGCAAATTCCCTGTGGTGTATTCAATATGCCAAACCAGTAACAATGATGGGTCTCATTCTCCTGACCCTGAAAGAGCCTCGAATGTGGCACTTTCTAAAATCTCAGGACTAGGACGAAGGAGACGTTACTGGTGCCTGCGCAGGGAAATCGATGAACGACAGGATGACAGTGATACAGTTGAAGCTTTACATCAGGAGCCCCAGTTTCACTCCCTGGCATGATATGACCTCCGGGTATAGCCTTGAGATACTGTCAGATCTAGGCCCCAATTCAAAAAGAAAAAGAGGGAAAAGAAAGGGATCTGAAGGGGAAAGTGAGTTTACTTTTATTTATTTTTAGGGGAACCACACCCAGCTGTTCTCAGAAGCTCAATGCTCAGAACCATGTTTTGGGTGCTGGTGACATCCAAGGCAAGTGCCCTAATCCCTGCATTCTCTCTCCAGGCTGTCTTTAAGAACTGCCCGGTGCTTCTGTGTAGTACATACAATTTGGTGACTTTCCTTTTTTTTTTTTCTTTTTGGGTCACACACAGTGATGTTCAGGGGTTACTCCTAGTGATGCTTGGGGAACCATATGGGATGCTGGGGATCAAACCTGGGTCAGCTGCGTGCAACGCAAACACCCTATCTGCTGTACTATCACTCCGGCCCCGGTAAAACTGAGGCTTTACTCCTTCCCTCTTCATTCTCAATTTAGGATCACAGAAGGAGTTTTGTTCTGAAGGCTTGGTAAGAGCTTGACCTCGCTGATCTGTAAGGTTGTGCCAGTACCATCAGGGCAAGAAGAGGTGATAGTCACAGAAGAGCCGAGAGTGGGGCTATCCCCGGGGCAGGAAAGGGGCAGGCTGCAGCCCCTCTGAGTGGCGAGGCTGATTGGGCAGGCTGGGGGCAGCCAGTAAACTCATCCTCTGTCTCTGACACTGGTGGTGAGGATGACTGCTCGAGAGGGCCCGGGGCCCCCAGGTGTCCTGGGCAGGGTTGTAGACACCCCGAACCCCGCCATCAGCCCTTGGGGGCGGGGGCGCTAGTACTGGCTTCTAGCCAGTCATCCCATAGTGACTCTTCTTGTCTCTGCCCCCTCCCAACTGCCTTGCTTTCCATGACCCAGGCCACCATGCAAATAAACTTGTTTTTCTCAATATTTGTGCAAGTCTGGAGCCATGAAACTCAGATTGCCTCATCCCGTGGCGGCTTCACCAGAGATCTGTATCTTGTTTATTTACCATGAGGACAGATACCTTGGAAATCACCAGCACCGCCTGGGCTAGGTGGAAGGAGGCGGCTGCTTCTCGGCAGCTCATGGCCCACCTCCAGGCCCTGGGACGTGCTTTGACCAGAACAGCGTGGCAGGTGAGGCATACACAGATCTGCGGCTCCTCCCCAGCCTCCGTCACTGGCCAAGTCCCCCGGACTGGTTGGCTGATTTCTTTATAGAAGACAGACTTTGGGCTGCCACCGAATTTGGGCTGCCACCAGTGATGTGCTTTTCCCTCCACCGGACTCTCCCACGGGTCTTTTTGTTTATAGAAGTGTAACTTTCATGGTAGGAAGCCACTTGCATTTACTTTTTGGTCTCCAAACAATGTGCCTTGGATCTGTTGAAGGCTAGCGCCTCTGGCCCTCATTTCTAGAACTCTGCCTCTACTTTTCCGTTGGTAACCGGGAATGGAGCTCAGGGCCTCGCACTGGTGAGCCTCCTCCCCAGCCCTGGCTTGCCTCTGTTCTTGCCCTGGTGGTCGGTCCATCCCTGGGCAATGGCCAGCTAAGACCAGTCTCTCACTCTGCCTTCCCGGAACTCTGTACAGGCTGGCCTGGAGCCCGCCAGCCACGCAGGCCCAGGATACGCCTGGAGCGGACAGGGCAGGGACTGCCACTAGCCTGGCGGCCTGCCAGGGGAGTGTCTTACTAGTGCCTGGAAGTGAAAGGGGCACACCACGGTGTCCCCTTGTCTCCAGCTCATGGCTCTGTTTGGCTGCTGAAGCCGAGGAGACTGATATTGGGGTGTGCCATGGTGGTGTCTTGAGAACACAAGGGCACTCAGGGTCAAAGTGCACATGGTGAAGAGTGAAAGTTACCCCTGGTGCACATGCTCACCTGGGATAAGCCTCAACCACTACCTGGATACAGAGCAGTGTGGGCCACTGCCCAGTGTGCCCTGCCACCGCCGCAGATGCTGCCTCAGACACAGTTCCCTGTCTGGCGAGATGAGGACTATAAACGGGCCTCTCAGGGGCCTGGATAGATAGGACAGTGGGCAAGGTGCCTGCGCTGCACGCGGCCAGCCCCAGTTAGGTCCCAGGCTCTGCCAGGGGTGACCCTGAACACAGAGCCAGGAGTAAGCCCGAGTACCACCAGGTGTAGCCTAAACCCCCAATAAATAATATCAAAACAGCCCTCCCCGCCCTCTATTTGAGGTAATTGCCAGTTTCACTTGCTTCAAGCTCACTTATAGGGTCGGTCACCCTCCCTGCCACTCCCACAAAGGCTTAGATTCGTGGGCATCGGTGAGCTGTAGGTCCCCACAGGAAAGCTGCCATTAAAACTAGCAACAGAAGTATCCTTACAGACAAGGTGGCTTGACACTATGGTGCCCTGGCCCTCAACATGCAGAGAAGCACTGGGTGCTCTGGATGGTTGCTATAAGCAGAGAGAGAGAGAGAGAGAGAGAGACAGACAGACAGAGACAGACAGGGACAGAGAGACAAAGAGAGACAGAGCAGAGGGAGACAGAAAACGAGAGAGCGAGCAGGAAAGGTTCCATTTAGAAGTCGGGGTATATTTTGGAGAAAGTGCGTGCTCCCGAGGTCTCCCACAGTTCTGACAGAAGAGACGGTTCCGACGGCAGGGCACGGCTTCGTGCTTAGAAAAGCTAGTGGCAGCACTCCGAACCCCGGGCCTCCCCTGGGGCTCTGCTTCTGGCAGCCTCTCGCGGGGGCACTGCTATAACTCATCCATCATGGCGAGCAGGTCGTCCCCCTTGCTGGCACTCTGTCTCTGCTGCTCTGTGGGCTCAAATGCCCCCATGATCCGCGCCAGCTCTTGGTTCCTTTGCTGGTCCTGTGAGAGAAACCGTAGGCCGAGGGAGTGAGGCTGTGTCTGGGGGTAAGGGTGGGGCTACAGCGTTTTTTTTCACCCACCCCTAGGCTTCCTCCCCCTGGGGTGGGAAGAGGACTGGAGGTCCAGGCTGAGGGACAGAGGGTCACGAAGAGGAGGAGAGGTGGTGCCGGGCGCTGGGCAGCTCCCGCGCACGTACCTGGATGGCCTGAATGTTGATGACTTCATAGGACAACTCCTCGGGCCTGGTCAGAGCAGCGTGCCTGCGTGAGAGGCAAAGAGATGGGCTGAAGGCAGCCTCTCGCCCTGCTGGCCTGGCAGACCGGCCCGGATCAGCCGGCCACCTATTTCCCTTTAACCTTCCACCCATTTCTGCCCCTGCCCCTGCGCGCCACACCGACAAGTCCTTTCCTGTCGCTGTGCCTTTGCATGTACCACGAGTGATCTCTCCTTTCCTCTGCTTGGCAGCTTCCAGACTCGCTTGCTGGGGGCTTCCCAAGTAGTACTCAAGCAAGGGGAGCCCCTCCTGGGGATTCTTGGCCAACGGTCTGGCACTTCGACATGAGGGCCGAGGGTGCGGTGCTGGGGATCGCCTGGGCCACCCTGGTCATACTCGGGGGGGTCTTTAGGGCCATGCCTGGTAGGGCTTGGGGGACCATGTGGTTCTGGGGATCGAACCGGGGACTGACTGCATGCAAGGCACACTGTTTGATACCCTGTACTATCTCTCTGGTCCCGAGATCCAGCTTTTTAATGGGATTATCTCCCCCTGCCTCCCTTCACCCCAGGTGCCAGGGATCAAAACCAGGACCTGATACATGTGAGCCCACTACCCTGGCCTTTAATATGCTCATCTTGACTAGCCACACTTTTTAAAAAAGTTATTTTTATTGAACTCTCATAGTGTTAGAGTCATTATTTTAAAACAGCGGACACTATCCCCTGTCCCTTCCCCTCACTCCCCTTCCCCACACTTCTTGCTCATTTGTATTCTGCTAAGTAAAACATTAGAACTATGTTTTTCTTTTTTAAAATTTAATTTTTTCATGCACACTGAGTGGTGTTAGCCATTCCCAAGCTCAATGCTGGGGGAACCATGTGGTTCTGGGAATCGAACCTTGGGCCCCTGCACGTAAAGTGCTCCCACTCTTCCAGCATTCTCCCGGCCCTACAGTCACATTTGAAATGAATCCAGGAAAGTTCAGATTATTTGTACTGGGGATTCTTCTTTAACTAGGTTTTTGAATTTACGAGTGTTTCATTTGTGATCTTTACGTCTATCCTGAGATATATCACTGGCTTACAATGATCACTTGTTCTTGTCATGTTTTGTTTATATGTCTTTAAAGAAATAGGTTTAGAACCTAGTTTTCAGGGCATTCGCGAGATAATATAGTGGGCAAGACACTTGCCTTGCATGTGCCCTACCCAGGTTCGATCCCTGATACCACATAGGGCATCCTCAGCACAGCTAGGGTTGATCCCTGAATGCAGAGCCTGGAGAAAGTCCAAGCACTACCAGGTATGGCCCCCAAACCAAAATCAAACCCCAAACAAAACAAAGCAAAACCCCTACTTTTCAGGTACTGGAGAGTTAGTCCAGGGGTCAAGGCGTTTGCCTTGCACGCAGCCAACCCTGGTTCAATCCCTGGTGCTGTGTGGTTCCTCAAGCATTGCCCAGAGCAACCCCCCAGCACTACTGAGTGTGGTCCATAACTCTCCCCCTCTAATGTATAAATTCAAAGAAACAAACATACTCCTCCTCTTCATCCGTGGTAAAGAGATTCAGCCGGAATCCTGGCTCGGGGCCACCGGATTTCTTAATCTCCATTCCTCCCATCAGCCTGGCTAAGAAGTTCAGCTCTTCTTTGGCAAGAGGGTTGGGAACAATGCTCTCCTGCGGGGACAATCGCATGGTCTCTGAGCCGCATGAAGGAGATCCCAGAAAATCAGCAACATAGCTATCAGCATTACCGCTGGGCTGGGCTGGGCCCACACACAGCACAGACAACAGGCTTCAACCTAAAGGGAAATAATCTATGGCAGAAGCAGAAGAACAAACCGGAGACTTTCACACTTGCAAAATGAGTGGGAGGCCCCCGGGAATTCTCTTCAAGCTTCACCTTGGAGAAGCGCTTCTGTCCCTCAAGTTCTCTGGACATCTACCAAAGGTCTTAGGAAGGGCTCCCAGGCCAAGCCACCCACCTCATAAGCGTGCCCACACTGCCCCCCAGTGGCGATGAGGATGCTTGCACACTGGGTCCGTTTCCTCTTGCTCCTCCCAACTCACTGACCCCCGCAGCCCACCTCCTCCTGGATCCCCTGCGGCTCTGCCTCTGCACTTGCCTCTGGTGTAGAAGAGCTAATTCTCATCTTCCTTGCTTGAAACCAACCCTTCTCCCTCCGGCCTGAAGAAGCACATCCAATCGGTGAAGCACCTTCCCAGTCAGGAGCCAGGGTCCCTGTGCAGGACCCTCTACCACCTGTCTCAGGTACCCTGTCCCTCTAGCCACCAGTAGAAGGCTGCCTCCTGCCCCGCTCCCCCTGCCCCTGTCTCTTCTGTCACCAGTGGGCCACCCATTTCTCCCTCTCCCTGGTTGGCGTCATGGACCCTCTCAAGCTGCCTTCGACCATCAGCCTCTCTGGGCAGACATCCTGTCCCTGCCCCACGGGACAGGCTATGTGTGAGCCTGGCGCAGGGCTGGGGTGCTCAGAGTCCGTTCAGGATGAATGGGACTACATCCGAGCTGGTTATGTGTCCCTGGCAGCCCAGCCCACAGAATGTTTGCAGACTAACTCAAGAGTCCTGATCCGTCCAAGGGATCCCGAGGTCAGTGACGAATGGAGGGATGCCCAAGCAGCGCAGATTCCATTCTGAAGTTAGCCACCAACTCGTAAGGCGGGGGGAGCCCTGGAAAGCAGTCTGGCGGGAAGGCACGTGTGAGCAGCCCGGGTGCACTGTTTCACATGTCCTGCTGGGTGGCTCCTGCATAATTACGGCGGGCAGCGGAGCCAAGCCTGACATTAGCTAATTAGCCAAATCATTGCACGGCTCCATGAGAAACTACAATTAAAAACCTGCGTGCTTGGGAGGCTGATGGCAAATGAGCAAGCCCTGTGCTTCGAAGCGCTTCCCAGCCTCCTTGGGTCCGCGATCTGGCGTCTTAGGCGTGAGCTCTGAAGAGGAACAAGGGCGGCGGGGGCTCACCTGTGTCCGCGCAGCCACGCTCTGTGACGCCCCCGATATGTGGGTTTCCACGGGCCGACTCGCACTGTACCTGGGGCAACGGAAGAGAGGGGAAACGGTGGCCAGACTTTCACTGTGCCTTCCTCAGAACTCACAGATACCGACCGGAGCTTTTATTTGATTTTGAAAAACGGTGCTCCCACACCCCAGCTTCTGTGACATTAAAGAAGGGGAAGTGTACAGAACCGGACGAAGTGGGGGTCAACCACTAAGGTTTTACTTCAAAGAAAAACGACCTGGGACACTGTGTGGGACAATTCCTTTTCAAAGCAACAAGTGTTATCACGGGAAAAATGTGAGCAGGCCAACCCTCTCCGGGTATCTACATGGCGGCTGGAGCTTGGCTCGCTTCCGTGGTTATTTCTTTATTTCCATTCATTCATCTCTTTGGTTCCAGGGATCAAACCCAGGGCCTCATGCTCTGCCACTGAGCAACATCTCTAACCCAGGGGCCATTTAAAATGATTTTGCCTTGGGGCTAGGAGATGGTTCAGTGGCTAAAGTGCCTTTCTTGCAAGCCTAAGCCCAAGTTTGCTCCCAAGCCCAAGTTTGATCCCCAGTGAAGCCCTGGTGTGCCAAGGATGGACTGGGCAGTTTTGCTGTCTGAGATCGCCAGGGCCGCGCAAGCCACTTCTAGCTGCAATGCAGGTCGGAGCGCCAGGGAAATACTGTTCCCCCTGCCGCTGAGGGGGCAGTGTGTGAGCACTGCAGCTTAAGGAGTACGCCACCTCTCACCATCCCCGGCCCCCAGTAAGCACACAGCCAGGTATGTGTGTGTATGGGTATGTGTGTGCCCCAGTTCCTGCACCCACCAATCTCAGGTGCCCCTTGGAGACATCAGGGCTCCGGTGCGCTACCTCTAAGGGGTAATAACTGCAGGGATTTCCATGGCAGGAGCTGAGCTGGAGGGTCCCATGCAGGGGACTCCCTTGGACTAGCGTCCAACAGGGGGTGAGGATTTGCTTACATATTCGTTCCCAGCTTCAGAACTCGGTCTCCAGAGAGTTCCAAAGAACCTTCTTTCAAGGCTGTGACGTAGCTTCCACCGTGCTTGAATTCTACCTTCTTCACCTCCTGGCCTTTGCTGTTGAACATTCTACAACACAAAACAGAACGTGACGGAATGTTCCCCAAGCATGGGTAGTCCTGGAAGCTGCTTTATTCTTTGCACTATCGGACAAACAGGAACCCATGCACTTCTTCAAGACAAAGATGCTGTTTTTGGTGATAATAAGAATACAATAATAACATTTACTGAGAGTGTAAATGCATATGTGTGGTGTGTGTGTGTGTGTACGCGTGTGCGCACGTGTGTGTGTGTGCTGGACCATCATTATCTCGTTCACTCCTGACAGAAACCATTTTGTGGATAGGGAAATGGATCCTGGAGAGCTGGGTGGTTCTGCTAAGTGGCACAGCTGACCGGGAGCCTGGCCTCCTACCTGGGTTTCCTTAAGCCACAGGAGAGTTACTGTGAGGATGGAGGGTGTGACAGCTCTGGGTAAACAGCTGGAGGTAAAGGAGTGGCCTTGGGGGAACTGCACTCTGGGGGGTGGCTCACGGGCTGGCTTCCCTCACCCCGAACACCGACCTGATGAGTCCAGGAACTTCCGTCCCCCAGGGCACGGGTCCGGACACTGGCAGCACAAAGCGCCCATTGGAATTCTGAACTTTGTCTTTGAGGAATATGGACACCTGGAGAAGAAAGAGACAGACAGGGGGTGTCTGAGTGTGTGGACAGTGTGGCAGGCCGGGAGTGGGCGCAGCTCCTATGAAGGTTTTGGAGGAGTGGGCCACTCACGGGCACTCACACCCTCTGGGTGTGGACACGGGGAGGCTTGGCGTGGATCTTCCAAGAGAGCTGCACCACCTTTTCCTGATGAGGAAACAGAGTTACATGGAAGTGACTTGCCCAAATAGAAGTTTCAGGGTGGGGGGGTGGAGGGAGGGGGGGAGAGAGAGAGAGAGAGAGAGAGAGAGAGAGAGAGAGAGAGCACAGTGGCAGTGGGCAGGGTACTTTCCATGCATGTAACTGGCCTGGGTTCAATCCCTGACATCCCATATGGCTCCTTGGGCCCCTCTAAGAGTGATTCCTGAGCACAGAGCCAGGAGTAAGTCCTGAGCACAGCTGGGTGTGACCCCAAAACCCAAAAACCAAACACCAGAGAGGAGGGTCAAGGGCAGGGCTGGAGGTCAGGGTAGGGCTGACTCCTCGGGCACGTGTGTGCTACGGCTCCCTGCTCATACCCACTATGCTGCAGCCTGGGCAGCAAGGACCCTCTGTCCACCCACAGAGGTGGGGTGAGCGCTGTGTCCAGGCCTGGGGCAGAGCAGGACACGAACCTTGTGCTGTAGAGCCCCAGCGCTGAGCCGGGGCTGGCCTGATGGGCAGGAGCTGCAGCGGTTGCAGCTGTGGCCATGAGCTTCAGGAGGGTTTTTACGAGGCAGGAAACACCACCGGACGCTTACTCCTGTTTCGTGTTTCTGGTCAGATTAACTGCCAAGATGATTTTGTAGCGGTTAATGAAAGCTTTATTGGATCTTAGTTTCCTCCATAAAATCAAGTCAACTTGAAGGTCCCTTTAAAGGCTCTAAAATTGTGCAAAATCGTACTTGTGATGTTGTGAAGAACAACATCCTCTGCGGGTGGAGGGATGGAATTGGGGTTAAGTGCTTGCCATGCATCCTGCATGCCTGGCACCACAGACAGCCCCTGAGCACTACTGCGGGTCATCCTGAGCACCACCGGGTGCTGGAGAGATACTATGGGGTCAGGACACCTGTTCCTGGACGGCCCATGTGGTGCCCTGAGCACTGCCAGCAGAGATTCCTTTTTGTGAGGGGAGGGGGGGTGGGAGGGGGTGTTTTGGGTCACATTCAGCGATGCTCAGGGGTCACACGTAGTACCCTAAGCACTGCCAGGAGTGATTCCTTTTTCTGAGGGGACGGGAGTGGGAGGGGGTGTTCTGAGTCACACCCAAGCGATGCTTAGGGGCGTGGCACAAAAACCTGGCTCGTACTCAGGAATTGCTCTTGGTGGACCACGTGGGATATGGCACAAGGCAGAGGCCCTACTCTCTGTGTTGTCACTTGGGCCCCCAGGAGAAAGCCCTGAGCATCACTGGGTGTGGCCCCAAAACAAAACAAATAAAACTACCCAAAATTAAAACTAATCTAGTGAGGAACAGCAGGGGGTTAGAGCACCTGCCTTGTGATCAGATGCCGTGAGGTCGAACCCCTGTGGGGACCACCCTGACAGCTGTGCTGTCTGTGGTTCCTGGGGCTACAGAGTGGTCCCTGTGAGCAGCACAACTAAAAAGACTGCAAGTGAAAACAAAAAACCTGGAAAAAACAAACAAACAGGGGGGGGCGGAGGGACAGTACAGCAGGTAGGGTGCTGAGGAGTGATCCCTGAGCACAGTGCCAGGAGCAGCAGCTGGGAGTGGCCCAAATACAAAAACAAGAAAATCAAAAACCAAAAAGAGGACATGCAAGGGCCACGGCCAGGAAGCCCCACGGCGAGCCACACCCACCACAGCATCCACTAAAGACACGACTCCCAGCGAGCATGTGTGGAGCATGGCAGCTAAAGGTCTATGGTGACCCTGGGAGCACCACAGCTGAAAACGTGCAGACACCAAGTGGTAACTCCCAGTCACCTCAGTGACAGATGTCAGCAATAACACCGGTGGCTGGAGGGACATTACAGGGGCGAAGGTGCTTCCCCTTCCCAGCAGGCCCAAGCCCTGCACCAACCCTCTCTAAGCTCCGGAGTTTTGTCTTTGATTGGATTAAACAAGGGGATGTTAGGTCAGAGAGATCAGAGCTGGGTATTCTGGACTCAGTAAACTGTCTTCCCAACTAATCTGAAAACTATGCAGGCTGTTCTGGAGATAGAAAATTTGTAAAGACAATCACGAACTGAGCAGAAACATCACTGGAGAGCAGCTGACCAGGAACTGACCAGGGGAGCAGTGAAGACACAGTCCAGTGATCGAGTATTGGTAAGGTCTGAGTCCTGTCTGCCTTGATAAATATCCAGATGTTTCATTGCCTGCCCACTGAGCAATTAAAACGTATATACTCTGTGGTTTAATGTAATATAGTGATTTAGGGATAGACTTTTATTAGGAAAGTCTTTATGTTATATAATGAATTTCATTTTGTCAGAACTGAGAGATCAATGGGGTCGCTTAGATCTATAATATGATCCAAATATGTTCAGTCTTGGTAATGCCATGCTGCAGTGCTCTTCAGTATCTTACGGTAATGCAGAGCTTAGTCGTATTTGTTCCCTCTTTTTTTTTTTTTTTTTTTTTGCTTTTTGGGTCACACCAAGCGATGCTCAGGGGTTATTCCTGGCTCTGCACTCAGGAATTACTCCTGGCGGTGCTTGGGGGACCATATGGGATGCCGGGGATCGAACCCAGGTCGGCCGCGTGCAAGGCAAACGCCCTACCCTCTGGGCTATTCACTCCGGCCCTGTTCCCTCATGTTTTAAATTTTAATGAGTGACTTTTCAAAATCTTAATTAGGCTCCCTCCATTGCAAATAAGATTATTTATGGGGGTTAAAAGTAAAACTGGCCCTAGAGCTGAAATTTATACGTCTCCTTTGGTCCAAGGAAGGGAAATAACCATCAGGCAGTGAAGATGTTCAAGTTCTTCTTTTTCTTTGAAGTTTACTTGTAAATATGTCACCCGTACACAGGCACCAAGATGAAAAGGCTCAAAGGGTGCACAGTAGACCTCTGTCTTTCCTCGACCCTGCCCTCTAACACTCCCAGGGTCACTTTCTTGTCCAGCCCTCCAGAAGCACTGGAGCATGTTGGAGCACCACACAGATGAGTAGCACCTATGCCCGACATTGGCTGCCTCGGTTAATTCTCCAGACTCAAAGTGCGGCATGATCTTTTCATTTTTCTGCTGCAGAAACGAAGTCTCAAGAGAAGGAATATTTCAAGGTCTTGGAGCTTGGGTTTACACATGAGAGGGTTGGACACCAGAGGCTAGGTTGATCTTGCCATATTAACCATCTTTCATAGACCAGCCTGTTAAATCAGGGGAAGGTACAGAGTCCTGTGTAGTCAGAACCTAGGATATAGATCTGTCTGGATAAAATGGAGGGCTCAAAGGGGAGGCCATGGGGAGCCAGGGCAGAGCGTGTGTGTAGAAGCCTTTACAGGCAGGTGGGACAGGTGTGGAAAGGAGGGTGCGATGACGGACAGGCTGACTCCCTGGAGAGATGGAGGAAGCTGGGGCAGGACTTTAATTCTGGAGATAAGCCCACTTGGAGTCATTCAGCTCTAGGCACTGGTGTGCTGGCCAGGGAGCCCTTCAGCCAGGAGGTAGTGATGGGGGCCTAGAAGGCAGGGCTGGACCACGGTAGGATGGTGGGTGGAGGTTAGAATCAGGAGCTCTAGGAGCTCTAGGTGAAGAAGTGAGTCGGGGAGGAAGGAAGGAAAGCTATTCATCTTGGGGGATGAGGGGAGTTTGAGCTATACCTGGCAGTCCTCAGGGCTTACTCCTGGCTCTACATGCTGGGATCACATCTGGAGGACTTGGAGGGCCATGTGCAGTGCCTGGGATCGAAGCTGGGTTAGCCCTGAGAAGGTAAGCACCCTACCTGCTGTCACAGCTCTCTGGCTCAGAAAGCTATTCCCGAAGAGCAAGGATGAGAGGGGCCAGGAGGGAGAAGGAGGAATGAAAGGCATTGTTCTTTTGGGGGTGGGTGGGTGGGTGGGGTGGGGTGGGGTCCCACCTGCCAGTACTTGGGGGCTGCTCCTGGATCTATGCTTGGGGGTTGCTTCTGGATGTGCTGTGAACTGAACCTGTGTCTCCCATATGCAAAGCATGCACTCATCCCATGGAGCCGGCTGCCTGGCCCCAGGAGGGAAAGGCACTGAATAGTCAGAGGGAGGGAGAGGCTGGACTGGCTCGAGCTGGCAGAGAGATTTAGGAGTAGGAGGGCAGCCTCTGAGAGTGTCAGATAACAGAGGTCAAGATAAGACTCAACAAGCTCTGGCTCAAAGGGTTGGCATGCATGCTTTGCATGCTAGGGCTTCTAGTTCAATCCCAGAGCTTGATGGTCTCCCAAACACGGATGGGAGTGGCCCCTGGGCTCCACGGGGACTGGCGGGTGCGGCCTGAGCATGAGGTAACTGGGAAGGAATGGTGGTGCCACTGTGTTCCTTGGCCCATTTGTACATGTCGGACATTTGGTATCAGAGATTTTTATCTCCCAGGAGCCAAACACCGAGAGCACCACTGACTGGGCCGTCCCAACCCCTGTTTCCTTCACCCTAGGACGGTGATGCAGGTACCTCTGGGTTGCCCAGGCACTCACCCGGATGTGCAGGTCCTGGAAGAAGATGAGCAGCGTCTGCCGGATCAGCTGGAATTCCCCGGCAGAGAGACCCCCATATATCTGCAGAAGGGAAGCAGAAAGAGATCTCATTGTGCGAGAAGTGGGAAATGAGAAAGATAGACAGACGGGGCCAGCAGGTGGGCAGGGAGGGGCCCGGACAGCTTGGGAAAGGCCCACAAGGAGGGGACACTTGACCTCTCCTGTCCCCCACAAGTCCTGGGCACTTTCTTGCCCAGGATTTAGCAGAACACACACCGCCACCTCCTGGCAGAGAGGAAGGAGGGGCTGTGTTCTGGGGCTCCGCTCCCCACTCTTGAAGCCCCACAAGAAGCCCCTGTGAGGACCAGGCCTCTGGTGCTCCTTGTCAATTTTTAGCATTTTTCTGGAAAATGGCAGGCTTTGTCCTCTCTCAGCCTCCCCTCTCTGTCCGAGAATCTGTTTGGAAGGGTCCAGACTCTTTTGGATGTGTGTGTGTGTGTGTGTGTGTGTGTGTGTGTGTACGTGTACACGTGTGTGTGCTCCTCTACAATGCTCAGACTGTTCCTGTGCTCTTGGCACAGGACACGGGTTCGTAGGTTTGTTACTCAGGTCCAGAGTGTGCTGGGGGCCACTAGAACCTGGTGGCACCTTGGGGACCCCGGGTGTCAGGCATGGATCTCGGAGTCTTCGCATCTGAGGCATGTTCTCTGGTTTCTGCTTCTGCCTGCTTTTGCAGAGGAGGGAGAACCAGCACTGGGGCGGGGAAGGGACGAGCTGCTGATTCTCTTACATCCATCAGCTGCCGAAAAGTCTCGTCCACTTGATGCACGATGGTCGGCGAGTCCCGCACGAATCCCTTGATGGCATCCAAGTGATTGAAAGTGATCAACAGCACATCCTTGGGCCGGGGACACAGCAATACTTGGTGTTTGAAGGCCATGGTCATCAGGTCGTAGAGCTGGCGAGCAGACAGGGGCAAAGCAAAACCAAACTGTAAAAGCAGAGGGGACACCTTCCCAATAAGCATTTCCTGGAAACAAGCTGGGCTTGTCATTCGGGTGGAGCGAGCTCTCAGCGGCCATGCCAACCGAGAGAGCTTGCAGAGTTAAGTCCAGTGGCATGGCCAACCCAGCCAGGACCACAGGCACGAAGCAGGAGTGGGTGGGGGTTGGGGGTGGGGCCTGGGCTTGGCCCCCGCTGTGATCAGATGGGCACTGTGGGGCCCTGGACTGGATGCTGGGTTCATGGAGTGCCAGTCTGTTTTTGTTTTTTTTTTTGCTTTTTAGGTCACACCCAGCAACGCACAGGTGTTACTCCTGGCTTCGCACTCAGGAATTACTCCTGGCGGTGCTCAGGGGACCATATGGGCATATGGGATGCTGGGAATCGAACCTGGGTCGGCCGCGCGCAAGGCAAACGCCCTACCGGCTGTACTATTGCTCCAGCCTCTATGGAGTGCCACTCTGAATCAAACCCTCTGTGGCTGTGGTGGGCTTGTGGGGGCCCCCCAAGTCTCAGAGTGTGAGTTTTCTAACACCCCTTCAGCTCCCCAACCCTTTGTCTCATCTCATCTGTCCTCTTACCAGATGCAGGGCTGTTCTGTGTGGAAGCAGCAGGGAGCAAGTTCCCCCATGGTGTCAGACCACTTCTGACCTAACAAGAGGTCAGTCCCCTGCCCCATTCTGGGCCCCTCAGGGAATCCTGGGAGGTGAGAAACTGGTGAGGGCCAGGGCAGGAAGGTGGAAGGCGGCCTGCGGCCTCCCGGGGAGCACAGACCAAAAGGCATTCTGCTGAGGAAATGGGCCCCTCCTGTCTGAGAGATGTGCTGAGGGGGGTGAGGGGGAGGCAGCTCCCGCTGGGGACTGTGGGAGATGAGGCTGGCTAAGAATGGCGGTAGGGAGACAGCAAAGCTTTGGGGATGGGAGGCAGTAGAGTCAGGGAACCCAAGTTCTAGAGAACTGAAATTTCCTGGGCTCGCCAGATAGAAGTGGTGATTAAGCACGTCTAGTCAGTCTGGCAAGGATGAGAGGCAAGAGGAGGGAGGGATGGTGCAGAGGGGAGATTAACCGGGCCATTATTTAGCTTCTAATTGGTTTGCAATAATATCTACTGATTGCAGGGATGAAAGAAGTGTTCAGACTTAAGGTCTGGAATAAAGATGGTGGGAACGGACAAGGCAGGGCAAGGGAGATGGTGTGATAATTAGAAAGAGAAACTCCCAGTCCCTGGGGACTGTCTGACTAGACCAGGGCAGGATGGGGCTGTCCTGAATGCTAACAGCATTTGCCGTGCTTGGGAAATGGCTCGGTGGCACAGCACTGGCCTTGCATATGTGAGGCCCTGGGTTCTGCTCCCAGCACTACCAAAAACCAAACCAAACCGAACCACTACTAAAACTCTCAGCGTAAGGCCACGGGAAGGATGGCACTGTGACAGAGACAGGAAGGTCTGGGGGTGGGGGGCAGGAGGGGCAAGCAGGGGAGAAATTAGACGCATCTGTGGGCAGGAACGAACAGAGAAACAGGCTGGGAGGTGGCTCAGGGATAAAGCAGTGCAGCACGGGCCTGGACCTGGACTCTGGCCCTGCACCACATTAGCAAAGAAGGAAAGAAAAAGTGAAAATGTAAATCAATGAATGGGCAGGGGAGATGACTGATGGTCTCCAGCATGTTCACTGCAGTGGGGAGACCTCATCGTTCCCCGAGCATTGCCAGGGATGGCCCCAAAGCCAAAAACTAAAAACTACTAGACCATCTGCGGGTCGTGTCAGCACCTTTACTTTATTCCATTCCGTCTCACCTTCTCCAGTGCTCTCTGAGAGAGGGTTTGCTCGAGCGGGCCCAGTAACGTCTCCATTGTGAGACTTCTTGTTACTGTGTTTGGCATATGGAATACTCTTGGAACTTTCCAGGCCCTCCGAGAGGGGTGGAGGAATTGAACCCGGCTCGGCCGGGCTGGCTGTGTGCAAGGCAAATGCCATCCCGGTTAAAAGGAGGAGACATCCCCCATGAGCACACGTAAGCACTGTAACTAAGTGTGCAACCCTGGAGCACTATACCACGTGTGGGCACAGTGACCACGTGTGAGCACAATCACATGTGAGTACAACCATGTTTGAGCACAGCAACCACACGTGTGCACAACAACATGTGAGTGCAGGAACCACATGTGAGCACAACCATGTGTGAGCACAATCGTGTCTGAGCACAGCAACTACATGTGTGCACAATAATATATGGGCACAGCAACCACATGTGAACACAAAAAGCACATGTGAGCACAGCAACATGTGACCACTACAACCATGTGTGAGCATAGCAACCACGTTTGAACACCAAAACCATGTGTAAACACAAGAATCACGTGTGAATATTAAAACCACCTGTGAACATAGAACCCACACGCGAGCATCACAAAAACGTGTGAGCATAGAAATCACATGAGCACAGCAACCACATGTAAACACAGAAACCATGTGTGTGGAGCACCACAACCACGTGTGAACACAGAAGCCATGTGAGCACCACAACCACATGTGCGAGAACCACAACCACGTGTGAGCACCACAACCACGTGTGAGCACCACAACCACGTGTGAGCACCACAACCATGTGTGTGAGCACCACAACCACATGTGAGCACTGCTACCAAGTCTGAGTACTCAGCAACCACGTGTGAGCACCACAGCCATGATCAAGCATTTTTGCAACAACAGCAAGAGCAGAAGCATTTGGAAGGGAATGGAGATGACACCAAACATGGCGATCCACTCTGGCACTTCCTGCACACCTCAACTCCTCATGCGTTATTTCTTTATTTTATGGGACTCTCTCTCTCATCCCTCTACCCTGTCTTCACATTTCTGAAATGAAAATCACACAACAATCACAACCATTCTATTATTCGTCGATTGCCTTGAGTAAGCCCCAGTAACGTCTCCTTCGTCCTAGCCCTGAGATTTTTTTTTAAAAAGTGCCATATTCAAGGCTCTTTCACAGTTAGGAGAATGAGAAATGAAATGAAAATATTTTTTTAAAAAGGAAAGAAGGGAAAAAAGAAAGAAATGAAGAAAGTTGCCTAAATTTGACATAACTGGCAGTAAGAGGCTTCCAAGATCCTGGAGGATGTAGCAGGCTAGAACTGTCCACACAATCCCACAACCCCACCCTCCTACATGCAGCGAGCCAGCACACGTGAGCAAGCTGCCCGCAACAGGAGCTGTGTGGGGTGTGTACAGTGCTGGAGATCTGAGGTTCCCACCCTCACCGTCAAACATCAGGGCCTTTGTGTACTGGACTCAGGCCGGGAGCAGTGCAGGAGAGTGGGTGTGAGGTGAAGAAATCAAAGTTCTGAGCCATTCCATGAAGTGGGTCCCACACCTGGTCACTGGGGAGCTCAGACCTGAGCCCGGGTTTTTGAATTTCACACGTCCTTTCTTGTTGAAAACTTAAACATTTCTTTCTTAATGGCAGAGGGAGAAGATAACACTTACAAGACATTGCCGCCTACCAGGGCTCGGAGTGTCATTCCACAGACTCACCTAATCCTCCCAGTAACCGAAGAAGGAGATATAATCATTCCCATTTTATGAATGAGAAAAGAGAGGCTTGGGGAGAGAAAAGCAAGTGGCAGGTGACAGGGGGTCACTACAGCAGCCTGTCTCCAGTCATTCGGGCTCCAGCCAGGAGATAGCCCAGACTCTGTATCCACTGTGGGACCTCAGAATAAAAGTGCTCAGGTAGGGGCCAGAGAGATAGTGCAGTGGGCAGGGCGCTTGCTTTGCAGGTAGCCGACTCCAGTTCTCTCCCTTGTACCACCGCCAGGACTGATCCCTGAACACAGAGCCAGGAACAAGCCCTGAGCACAGCCGCATGTGACCCAAAGACCAGAAGGAAAAATAAATCTCAGGAAATGGGCCCAGGGATGCTGGTCAGGGGGAGGGCGCCTGCCTTGCAGGAGTGAGGCTGTGAGTCTGATCCCAGCACGCCCACATGCTGTTTGGTATCCCTAGAGCCACAGTGAAAGGTGTCAACTCCTGTATGACCCTGGTTATCACAACAAAAAGCTAAGGGAAGGGGAAGAGAAAATTAGAGAAATTGAAAATTCACACCGCAGAGGAATTTGAAAGGGGATTATTAAGAGCAATGGATCCTCTCTTTGTTTTTTGGCCAGTACCGTGCAGTGCTGGGGACAATTTCTGACTCAGGAGAGACCCCTGGCTGTGCTCAGGGGATCCTAAGCAGTGCTTGGGATCAGCCACGTGCAGGGCAAGGGCCTTACCCCCAGCCCTGTACTATCATCTCTCTGGTCTCGCACTGTCACTATTTTTTTTTAATATATATTTTTTATTGGATCACTTACAAAGCTGTTCATGATTAGGTTTCGGTCATATTGTTTCAACGCTTAACCCTCCACCAGTGTTTGTTTCCAAGCACCTGTATCCCCAGTTTCCCCCCCCACCTCTGCCCCCCCCCCCCAGCCTGGCACAGGGCAGGCACTTTTCTTCTCTTCTTCTCTCCCTTTCTCTCTCTCCCTCCCTCCTCCCTCTCTCTCCTCCTCCCTTTTCCTTTCCCTCTCTCTCTCCCCACTTTTCAGCATTGTGATTTGCAATACTAAAAGGTTATTATGTATACCCCTTTACCCACTTTTAACACTCAGTTCTTGTCCAGCCTGTGAGCATTTCCAACTGTATTGTCATACTGGTCCCTTCTCTATCTTACCTGCACTACACCCCACATACACTTGTGGTAGATTCCAACCACCGACTAGTATTCCTAGTCCCTGATTTCCCTGGCCTTGAATACTAGTCTTCTACTATTTTTTTTATATCCCATAAATGAATGCAGTCATGCTATACCTGTCCCTCTCCTGACTGATGTCACTCAGGATGATACTCTCCATGTCCGTTCATTTATAGGCAAATTTCATGACTTCATTTTTCCTGGTGGCTGTGTAGTATTCCATTGCGTAGACGTGCCATAGTTTCTTTATCCATTCATCTGTTCTTGGGCAAACAGGTTGTTTCCAGATTCTGGCTATTACTGTCACTATTTTAACATGAATCAATATCCCTATTTCATTCCAATTTACTTGTTTTCCCCAGCGTCCTCTTTCTGACCCAGGACACTGAGCTACATTGGTTGCCAATTCCCTTTTGGCTTCTCATGCTCTGACAACCTTTCTGACCTTCTTTGATCATTTGGAGTTCTGATCAGGTGATTTTTCACATGATCTGCTAGTGGTATTTATGTTTCCCTCCCAGTTAGACTGAGTTTGTGGGGGGGGGGTGTGGGTTCAAGAAAGACCACTGGGTTAACTTTTTGTCCTTACCACATACCTACTACCAACATGCTTTTTCACTCTTTAATTTTTTTCTCTTGCTGGAAACCCCAGACCTGATGCTGTAGGTGCACGGGGGGCAGTGGGGATCAAACTCATGGCCTCACACTGGCCCAGGTGCTCCTAAGCCACCAGGCCATCTTCCAGGCTCTGCCTTGCTGGGGATCTCCAATACAGCTGTCAGGATGATCTCAGCAGGTGCTGGCGGTTTGCGGCTCCACAAGCTTGCTCCTGCCAGGCAAGTGCCTTAAGCGAGTGAGCCATGCTCCAGGCCCCTTCTTGTCACTTTTTTTTTTTTTTTGCTTTTATGGGTCACACCTGGTGATGGTGTGATGGTCAGGGTGATAATCAGGTGTTTTTTCATATGATCTGCTAGTGGTATTTATGTTTCCCTCCCGGTTAGACTGAGTTTGTGGGGGGAGTGTGTGGGTTCCTGGCTCTGCACTCAGGAATTACCCCTGGCAGTGCTTGGGAGGCCATATGGGATATTGGAGATTGAACCGGGGTCAGCTGCATATAAGGCAAATGCCCTACGCATTTAATCAAGGTGCCATTGCATGCATGATCTCATTGGTTGGTGACCACCCACAGAAGACTCGAGAAATACCTTGGCTATGCCAAGAGGTGGCGGGCCATTGTCTGCTCACCTTGTCCATACTGGCCTGGTTCAGTCTCATAATGGAGGAATGGGCCAGGCGGTCGTAGACAGTCCTTAGGGCCTTCTTAGAGTACAGCTCCTGGGGCTTAAATAATTCCTCCATAAACTTCCGATTGAACATGGTGGAGATGATGTCATTCAGAACTGCAGAGACAGGAGAGGAGAGCGCTGAGCGAGACCCTGGAGGGAGTTTTATTCAGACATGCTCTCTTTACTAATGGACCGAGGGACCAGCCTGTGCAGAGTGAGTGGGAGGCTGATGGACTTGGGGAGACGCGATCCCTGGGGAGAAACGGCACCACTGTCCCTGCTTTGATGGAAGTGCAGGCTCAGAGTGGATGTGAGAGCATTCACAAACATAACGGGGACAACAGAAAACGTGCGGTGCTTCAGGAGTCCCTCTCATGCCTCATCACCTCCCTGGATGACAGGGAATGCTTCCTCCTTCCTTAAGGAAGATTCCCCTTAGTGTTTTAGATTACATCTCCAATTTAAAGTGAGAAAAAAAAATCACCTTTTGTTGTTGTTGTTGCTGTTATTATTAAAATATCTGTCACACGGGACTGGAGAGACAGTACGGCATGTAGGACACTTGACTTGCATGCAGCCAACCAATGCAACCTGCATGCAGGTTCAATCCCTGGTACCATATATGATCCCCTTGCCCCACCAGGAGTGATCTCTGAGCACTGAGCCAGGAGCATCCCCTGAGCACCACTGGGTGTGACCCAAAAACCAACCAAAAAACACCTAAAACATTTTATGGGGCTGGAGAGATAGCAAGGTGTGGAGGGCGCTTGCCTTGCACACGGGCAACCTGGTATCCCTGGCAGAGCTAGGAGCAAGCCCTAATCACTGCCAGGTGTGGCCCCCAAACAAATAAACAAAACTGTAACATTTTAACTTAAAATTAAAAAGCCTGGGTGGGAGAGATAGGACAGGGATAAGGTGTTTGCCTGGGTTTGGTTACAGCATGGCCAGGGGGCCCCTGAGTGCTGCCAGGATGACATGAAATGCCCGGCATACTGATGACCCCTGAATTCAGACTAGGAGTAAGCACTGAGCACAGCTGGGTCTGGCCCCCACAAACAAACAAACAAACAAACAAGAAAAGAAAATTTCAAAGGAGTAAGACCAATAATGGTAGTTGACTTTATTTTCGTTTTCCTTTCAAAACACTGTAAGAAAGCAGACAATTTGCCCCCTGCTTAGAGATGTAATAATTTTTGATGTTCTGCACACACTTCACACTCACCACATTTCCCCAGCTCCTTATTTCTCTATTTCATTTCCAGCACTGACAGCACACTGCACTGATACATCCCATGTCGTTCAAATGGAAAATTTCCATAGAAGGTCCATGGAGGGCACAGAGTTAAGTATCTGTGATTCTAGTTCTGCTTCTCCTCATACATGTCAATGTCTGTGCTCCTCAAATAATATTTGGGAACGAAGGAAAGCTACTGATATAAGAAATGGGAGCAGGTATGGCTGGACAAGATTCTTCTTACTTGTGTGTGTGTGTGTGGGGGGGGGTTTGCTCCCCTGCTGTGCTCAGGGCCTAGGGGTCACTGCAGGCAATGAGGTGGTTGGTGCTCAGGAAGTCAGGAGGAACCAAGCTTAGGTCCTCTCCCACGTCAGGCATGAGCTCTACTCCTCTGAGTTATGTCCCGAGCCCCTAATTGTTCTGACTGGAGTCTGTGTAAAATAAACAACCATACAGCAGATCTCCAAAGAAAGAGTCTGAAAACTGTCCAGACTAGTGGAGGCTGGGGAGAAGCATCAGAGAGGAAGAATTCAAGCTGAAGGAGCCCCTTTGCTCTGATTCTGTCCGTGTTTGCCAATGGCTTCCGTTCATCTAGCTGCTAAGTTGTTTCCCTCTGGTCTTTGAGCCTTAGTAGGAAGTAGGAGTCTTAGGCCCAAATAAGTCAGTTCTAAAAGAAGGAAAACCCCCGAGGTGGTTGTTAGTCATTCTGGCACAGTAAAAAGCAAACATGAAGCATTTCCGCAGGGAATTAATAAGCTATATATCACTACAGCGCCTGCACAGAACAGCCGGAAGGTCCCCTGCTGGAAAGGGAACACAGCAGCCCCTGTCCCTGTGGGCAGAGCGGTGAACACAATCGTCCCCAAAGAGAGAGATGGTCTCCCTGGGGGCCTGCAGCTTGGGGCTCCTCCCAAGAGTGCGAGTCTTTGAAAAGAAAAACAGGGGCACCAATGACCCCCTCCTTCTAGCTTCAGTCACGCCCGCCACCTGGCAGAAGCAGGCCTACCTGCCAAGAACAGACCCGAAGCCAGATCCCAGGCACAGAGAGGAGGAAACGGCCCACCCTGGAGAAGCAGCCCACGCAGTTACGAAGCTGAACTCGAGACGTGGAGCTTAAAGCAGCCCTGTCAATCTGCCCCAGTGTGGGTTTCCGCGCTCCTGTGAGCTCTGCGTCATCTCACTGCGCAGGACTGTGCGTGGAGCCAGGGTTCATCAGCATAAGACCAAGGTGGCAGGTGGGGGACAAGGACTAGTGACTGCAGGTGGTGCCCGCGAGGGCTAGACACAGAGGTCTCCAGGTGTCTGTTTGTGTAGTGACCTCAGCTTCTTCCTGCTCATGGTTTTTTAAAAATGTGTACGATAAATTGCAAGGGCCCCAAGGTAAAGCATTCCAAATCCACACATCTCCCTGAAATCCTGCTAACGGTCAAGAGGAGGCCAAAAACTTGCTCAAGAGCAGCGGCACAGGATGGTCGTGCAATGGAATCATGCAGAGCATCAAGCACTTCAGCTGGATTCTCCTTTGGGCCTGGCCTGAGGAAAGGATTCTCTTGAAAGCAATTGAGTGCTCACCAACGAGCTCATGGGAACATGCAGTTCGTGAATCAGCATCAAAGAGAGAAACTCCCACGACCTGATGGACCCTGTTTTGCTTCCTGGCTATGCTCCAGAGCCAGGGCTTAGATATTTTCCCAGCATGTTTTCATGTAAACCCCATGGCCAGCACTAGTTGGGCTCATTGGACTGTGTGATGGAACTAGAACTTGGGCGAGACTTATATGCACATGCACGGGGCGGGGTGAAGCTGTTCTCCCGAGGTTGTATATAGGTCAGTCCACCGGCGGTAAATCATTAAAATGTGACCCCCCAAATCCCACAACTCAAATGATTAGGAAAACCGAGATGCAGAGAGACTCAGTCTCCAGGCCTCACTGCAACGGGTGCTTATGCCTGTGCTCTCAGTGGACACGGAGTGCTCGCTTTCTCAGCAGATCTGGCATGCAGACAGCATTTGGAACACAGCGACGGATGACCAGGGACATGCACAAACTGTACCCACACGTCAGACAGTGGGAGGGGTGGCAAAGGCCCGTCATAAGGGCAAGGCTGGATTTGGAGACAAGGGTGGCTGTTTCGGGAGCTTGCAGGCTGGGTGGGGAGAGGCCTTCGCTGCATGCACCCTTTCATGCCCTCCACCCCGGGGCTGGCAGCCATGCACTCACATGCGCCCAACTGTTCTTGGCTGCTCCACAGTCTCTCAGGGCGCTCAGGAGAGGGGCACGGGGAAGCCACTGGCATTGAAGTTCAAGGCTTTGGTGACCTGATACTATCTTCCATGGAACAGGACAGACAGGATCACTGACCCAGCTATCCGGAGAAGCCTGCACTGACCGATGGACCAGTGTCTCACAGGATCCTCTGGTCTAAGTTTGCCTGATTTTCTTCTACATTGTCTCTATTTAAGAAAGACAGATATGTAGCCAGTGTCTCAGCAAAAGAGAAAACTTAGGCCTCTTTTGGTTTTTGGAGAGGGAGCTCCTGCACGATGCTCAGGAGGTCTAGGGGGGCCCACTGTCGATTCTCAGCCAACCGAGTTGTGGGTCCAGTGGGAGGGCCTGAGAATGAGACGCAGTTGGGGCCCTGCAGGGCTGGGGGGTGTGTAGGGCCCCTCAGTGGTGCTGAGCCCAGAAATGCTTGGGGGACCTTGATGTGCTGGGACCTGAACCCACGTTGGAGGCACATACTCTCTAATCCCTGTGTTACCTCCTGACCTTTTAGGCCTCCTTTTTCAACAAGTCACTGAATCACAGACACGGGGTGGGGGAGCCTGTGGTGCAGACCGAATGCATGCGGCCCCGAGCGCGTACCTCGTTTTCTGTCCACCTCTGTCCATTCATCTACAGGAAGCATACAAAGAGAAAACACGGGTCCATGAGGCAAGAGCATCGCTTTCACAGGGGCTGTTACATACCACTTCCAGAGTGTCCTGCCCAGAGACTTTATTTTCATGTTTGCATTCATGTCCTCCCACTGCAAACTCTCAAGAGGACACTGGGTAAGCAAGTATCTGCCTCAGGGAAGGACGTCAGAAAGACTAGCTCCCCTGGGTGCATCCCGAAAGGCCGAAAGTCAGTAGTGAAGAACGATGGAAACGAGGTGGAGAGCCCCACAAAAACAGGAGACAAAGCAACCCCTTCTTGTTCCACTTGATTTTTCAAATTTTGGGTGGGGGCAGGGGTTTGGGCCATACTCAGAGGTGCTCAAAGGTTACTACTCCTGGCTCTGCTTCGGCGGGGGGTGGGGGGGTTTGGGGATAATGTGGTGCTGGGGACTGAGCTGGGGTTGGCCACATGCAAAGGGAGTTCCTTAACCCCTGCATTGTCTGTTTGGCCCCATAACTTAAATTTTTCTTCTTTTTCTTCTTCTTCTTTTTTTAAATTACTGTAACAATTTCTTTCTTTCTTTCTTTCTTTCTCTTTGTTTATTTGCTGGCCACACCTGGTGATATTCAGGGGTTACTCCTGGCACTGCGGTGCTCAGGGGACCATATGGGATACTGGTGTACTGGTAATAGAACCCAGCTGCATGCAATTCGATTCCCCTACATGCTATACCACTGCTCTGCCCCCTACATTAGTATAACATTTCTTTTTGAGAGCAGAGATGGGACTGCTGAAATCAGAAAAGCTAAATTTTGAATTAAAACAAAAATCGTTTGGGATGATAGTGCAGGGGTTGAGGCTCTTGCTTTGCATGTGGCTGACCCCTCTTTGATCCCCAAGCCCCACATGGTACCCCGAGCACTACCAGGCGAGACCCCCAAGCACAGATTTGGGAATAGCCCCTGTGCAAAGAGCCAGGAGAACCTCTGGGTAAGACCCCAGAACCAGCCTCCAGAACCTCTGGGTATGACCCCAAAATAAAAGTTGTGAAACTTCAAAAGTTAAAAATAAATCAAAAAGGCGGGGAGGGGGGGAGTTAATCTGTGCTTTACTTTTTTTTATTTTGTTTTGGGGCCACACTTGACTGTGCTCTGGGCCTACTCCTGGCTCTGCACTCAGATCACTCTGGGAACTGTATCAGGTTCTGGGGCTGAACTGGGTCAGCCACATGCAAGGCAAGTTCCCTAACCACTGTACTACCTCTCTGGCCCTTGTGCTTTACTTTGTGTATATAGATAAGTGACTGCCATATAAGAAGGAAGTAGTGACAAGGAAGTAAAGAGAGGAGCACAGACACATCCAGGGAGATGCTGAGAGGGAACTGATGAGGAAAAACATGTTGGCGAGAGAAACTGGGGAGAATGAAGGCCCTGGTCTTCACTGGGTTGAGACCTGGTCTTACTACTTACCAGCTATATGATTTCAAGCAACTTGTTTAACCTCAGTCTCTTCTGCAAAAGGGGGCTAGGTGTACCTCTCTCAGGACTGCTGTGGATAATATACATTGCTTTTACTTCAGTTTCATCTCTTGTGGGACACTGGATGTCACTCATAAGGGATGGAAGGGGGCTGTTTTTCTTTCCTTGATTTCGTCGCCCCACTTCCCCCCAATCTAGAGAGGGAGATATTTCAATCTCGAGAAACCACTTCCAGATACACAGAGTTCTACATACTTAAGGATCACTTTGTGTGATTTGCCATCAGATTATTTCAGAGGTAGCCTCTGAAATTCTGTTTGCTGTTTTTGTTTTTGGAACACACCTGATTGTGCTTAGGGCTTACTTAATCCTGGCTCTGCACTCAGGGACCACTGTTGGTGATACTCGGGCCAGGTTTGGCCATGGGCACGGGAATTGCCTTACCTCCTGTACTATTACTTTGTCTCAATTTCTAAAGTTAAAATCCAAGCATTATACATCTTCAGTACATAACCCTCAGCTTCAGGGAGGCAGTCTGTTTTTGTTTTTGCTTTTGGGTTGCATTCAGCAGTGCTCAGGGACCACACCTTGTTCTACACTCAGGGGTCATCACCTGGCTATGTTTGGAGGACCACAAGTGATGTCAGGATTCGAACCATTGTTGCGGAAGTAGCCACACGTCAGGCAAGCACCTTAACATTTGCACCTTTTCTCCGGGCCCTAGGGGAAGTCTGGAAGCGCAGCCTGTGTGGCCTTCACTGGCTGTACTATCAGGCTCCAGGGAAAATTCACTTTCTGTCTCACAAGTCACAGGGTTTTGGAAAGAAAACATTGTAGAAGTGGTTGTCAAAAGTCTGACTTTCTTTTTGTGGGGGGTGCATGGGGAGGAGTGTATGCCCCCCAAGCATTTTTTCAGGATGTTTTGGGGGCCATTCCTGGTGAATGGACAGGATAGTTAAATGCTTGAACCCAAGCCTTGGCATTGCACAGGCCTGGCAGTGCTTAGGACCACCAGGGATACACACCAACGGCACTTGGGGACAGGGGCAGGGGGTGCGTTTAGTTCCAGGGATCAATTAGGCTCTTACACCTCCTGCCCTTGAGCTGTCTCACTGGTCCAAACGTCTGTCCGTCCTGAAACTGATACTGGCTTCTTTGGCTCACTGTCTGCATCTCTTATCTCTCGGTAGCATTTGTTGAATAGGTGATCTTGCCTGGCAAGCTTGTGGAAATCTGGAAAAGGGGAGTTTCTACCCTTGGAAGGCACATTTGGGCATAGGGGTGCTGCAAAGGGTTTACCATGCCGAGGGGCAGTGACTGCTTTGGGAACTGGAGAATGCATGGCCAGCCCTGCCCTCCCGCTGGCAGTGATGCTCAGTTCCAGCAGAGGGCGGCATAGAGCTCCTTTCTTCCCCAGGATCCAGGGACCAGGGAAACCCCAATTTTTTTTTTATTTCTTCAGGTGATTAATTTGTGAGAATTCCACTTTCATTATAATTTGAGTGGGAGGCAGGCCCAAGGCTACCCAGAGCCGGCTATTAAGGTGGAACTAATATAAGAAATATAAGAGCAGGACCTGACCATTATTTGGCTGCGCCATACAGTAATCTGCATAATTTAGTGGGGGAAATTGCTTAAGTGGCAAGAGGGCTAATACAGGGGCTATGGCGCTTCCCTTGCAGGCAGCTGACCCCAGTTTGGTCCCCAGCACTGTATACGGTCCTCAGTGCACCACCAGGGGTCGCTCCTGAGCCAGGAATATCCCCTGATGGCCGTAGGGTGTGCTCACCACCAGGTGCCGGGCCCCTAGTCACGAAAGAGTGCTAAGCCTGTTTCCCTCTCTGCAAAACAAGGGGTATAAATAAAAGGAAATGCTGATTTATGCATATTTTTAACAGGACATGAGTGAGCCCAAGGCCGTTTTTACGAGTCTCGAGATTGCTTAAAAAGTGGGGGAACGTTCACTGTGCAACACTGCCAGGTTGCCCCACAAAGAACGCTTCCTGTCTGTTAGCGCCTGTGCAGCCTCTGCCTGGGGGAATCACCAGAGCGGGGGCAGCAGGGCCTCCAGGAGACCGCTTAGCTGCTGAGATAATGCAAGAGAGAAATACTTCTAGGAGAAGCAGCACTTCCACTCAAAGCTGCCACCCAGAGCAGTTTACCATGTCTGGTGTCTGCCAGGCTGCTGTGCACAGGCAGCTGTCAGAGCCCCAGCAGCAGAACGGGGTGGAAACAAGAGTGCCGCGGGGAAGGTGCCCGCCTTCCATCAGGCCAATCGTGCTCGGGTCCCCAGTGATCAGTTGGTTCCCCACGTTCCACGAGGAGTGATCCCTGAGCACAGAGCCAGGAGTAAGCCATGAGCAATGACAGTGTGCATCCCCCCCACACCCCGAAGTGAAAGTAATGGGATGGGTGGATGTTTCTCAGCTTTGGAAACCCCTGTTTTCCCAGTCTTCTATGTAAAACCATCCACAGACCTTCAGGTCACCTCTTTCTATACAGTCAGTGGGTCTACTGGGTATTTTTCAAACCCCTTTATCTCCTCTCAACCTTCCAATTCCCATGAAGTTTAGGGCATAGCCCTCTTGGAATATCAGCAGAGAGGGTCGGGGCAATAGGACAGCAGGTAGGGCACCTGCCTTGCATGCAGTCAACCCAGGGGTTGATTCCCTGCATCCCATATGGTCCCCCAAGCCCTGCCAGAAGTCCCTGAGATAGAGCCAGGAGTAAGCCCTGAGCGCTGCCAGGTGAACCCCTACCCTACCCCTCACAGTGCCCTCCCCTCCCCCCCCCCCCCCCCCCCCCCCCCCCCCGCCAATAGAATGTCAGCAGAGTATGTTTGAACATATTGGCTGAGCATCAACCTTGGATCCCAAAGACTTGTGTTTTAATCCTTTTGCGCTTCCTTTTTATCAGCTGTAAACCCTTGGGCAAACTGGCCTGAGTTTACTCCATCTGTAAAATGGGGATAGAAGTATTACTAATATAAGACTGCCGTGGGGATTAAGGCATTTCTAAGTCCTTCATACCTGGGAAGTGCTCCATAAATGCTGGCTGCTCTCAGTATCAGGAAAATATGTCCTTTAGTTCTAGTCACTGCCAAGCTGGACTGCCCAGAAGTCCTCCCTCCAGACCAGGGACAGGACCTTTCTCTGCCAAGGGCCATTAGGATATTTATAACATTATCTGTGGTCCATACAAAACAGGCAGATGGGCTGTGGGTAACCAATGAGAAGCATATATGTCTGTCCCATCAGGTACCAGGGCCAGGCCACAGGAAGTTGAGGGCTTTCTCTGGCCCATGGGTCAGACCTTCCCCACTCTGCTCTAGTGAACGCACAGACGGCCATCTCAGCTGGCCTGGGAGGAACAGGGGGCCTAGGAAAGAATGAAGAAATATTCTAAAGTCATCTAAAATCCTCAAGGCCTAGGGTTGTGAAGACAAAGGAAGGCAATCTCCTGTGTCCTGCCCAGACCTCTTTTTTTTTTTCTTCTTGAGTCACACCCAGTGATGCAGAGGAGTTACTCCTGGCAGTGCTCAGGGGACCATATGGGATGCTGGGAATTGAACCTGGGTCGGCCGCGTGCAAGACAAATGCCCTACCCGCTGTGCTATCTCTCCAGTCCCCATTTTTTTTTTAATGTAGGAGTACTGCTATTTATTGTGCCCAGACCTCTTGAAAGACGACATCTGCTACTCGGTGTGTCATCCCAATACCATCATCACAGCGTTCTGTAAGATATGTATACTTATTAATGTTTGAAATTCATAGGAGTATTTACACACATATATTCCTGAAGGGTAGGGGCCATACTCGACTGTGCTCAGGGGTCACTTCTGGTGGTGTTCAGGGGACCATGTGATACACTGAGAATCAGACGGACCAGCTGCAGTGGCTTGCAAGTCAAGTAAGTGCTTTAGACCCTGTATTATCTCTCTGCTCTCCCCAATTTAATTTTTATAGCAGCCTCATCCAGCAGAGCTTGGGAAGAGGGACCCTGTGGCCATCCCAGACATGGCTTGGTGGTTGGTGTTATGCAGTGCAGAGCTGGGGTGGGAGTGAGGGGTACAGGGTCAGAGGTGACAGGGATGGAACTCAGAGCCTTATGCGCGGCACGTGCTCTACATCTTCCGTAACACTCCTGATCCCTGATTCTTCCCTATTTATGGAAAAGGAAACTGGTTTAAAGACATCACACGGCTAGTTAACTCAAACCAAGCTGGAGCTAGGACTCATTTATGACTCCCACGAGCGTGTTCTTGGTTGCTAGTTTACACTGTCTTCCAAGGAGCAGGTGACTCGTTCAAGAACCACCAGTCAGCTCCCTGGTACTGTTAGCCCAAACGGAATCACATCTCGGGGCGAAGAGAAACGTCTTGAGGGAGAAAGAGCAACATACAAAAGAGCCAATTCAGTTCATCACCAACATTTGCTGAGCCCCAACTGAGTCTGGTTGAGGCATTAGGTGCTGGAGTAGAGGTGCACTGGGCTGAGCAAGGTGATCACCATGTGGTGCTCAGGGGCTACTCCTGGCTCACGGCCCTGGGGTCCCTCCCTAGGGTGCTCAGAGCCCTCTTGTGGTGCCAGGGATCACACAGGGGCCTCCTGCATGCAAAACATGCGTTCAGCACTCTGACCTGTGTCAGCCCTGACACATTCCGTAAGTTTTTTTTAAAATTTATCTATTATTCCAGATTCCCGCCCTTCCGAAATGAGCACCAGTGCTCTGCAGCTGATGAAGAGGTAGGAAGGAGACTCAGAACCCGCAAAAGGCACGTGGTCCCGGTCAGCAGGAGCGCGGTTACTTTTGGGCGCAACCGGCTACCAAGAGACACGGGGACAGGTGCCATCGCTCCAGTTTGAGGGGTCGAGGAAACTGGATGAGGATGCTAGGCACCCGACCAGTACCAGCGGGGGCAGTTGGTGCTCCTTCTGTAAAAGGGGAATCTGACTCTTGAGGGCCTCTGACCCTAGAACGCGGACTGCGGCGGTGTGGACGAGCACAGCGTGGGCGGAAGTTGGTCAGTGGGTCAGCCAGGGGTCTGGCTAAGGAGGCCAGGCTGCGGGCCGCGGGTCTGGCAGTAGGTGCCAGGTGAAGGGTCAGGGCTGTGGCCGCGCGGGCAGGCAGTGGGTGCCTGGTGAGGGGTCGGGGCTGCGGGCTGTGGGTCTGGCAGTGGGCACCCGGTGAGGGCTGGGGGCTGCGGGCCGCGGGTCTGGCACTGGACTGCTGGCCGCAGGCAGGCGGTGGGCGGGCAGGGGCCGGGCGCTTCTCACCTTTGCGGGCCTTGTCTCCGGGGATGTTCTGAGCCCGCAGTCGCTGATCCAAGATATAAAGCATCTCCCCGCCCAAGTTCAAGAAGAGCAGCGGAAGCGTGCGCACCGACATGGTGTCGGGAGCAAGGAGCGTGGGAAACGTACCCAGGGTGTAGCCAGAGACCCCGATTTCCCGCAATCGCGTCTCCGAGGCCTGGTTGCTAAGGCAACGTGGAGGGAGGAAAACCAGCCAATGAGCAGACTTCTTGTTGGGAGGCGCCCAGGAGCGAACGCTTATTGGTCCGGATGGCTGAGCCCTACGGGCGGATTGGCTCGGGCTGTGAGCGCGGGCCTTGAGTCGCCGGGCGTTCCCGGGACCACCCCGATGGGCTGGGTTTCGTCCGCAGCCCCTGGGGGCGCGGCAAACCTCGGCTAAACATCTTCACAGCCTCCTCTGGCCGACGGGGTTGGTTAGCATCACGGCTCTGCTGTTTGGAGCAGGGGTTTGGGGCAGGTGGTTTTTGTTGTTGTTTACACCCGGCGATGCTCAGGGGTCACTCCTGGAACTACGCTCAGGGGTCACTCCTGGCGGTGCTGGGGGACCATAGGGGATGCTGGCGATTGAGCCCAAGTCGGCCTCGTGCAAGGCAAACGCCCTACCCGCTGTACTATGAGTGGATACAAAACACCGGCCCCATGAGCAGGTGTTTTGATTGATTGATTGATTGATTGATTGTGTGTGTGTGTGTGTTTATTTTTTGGGTGGGGCCACATTGATCGGTGTTGAGTTTATTCCCGGCCGGGAGCAGAAGGAGCTTCAGAGCTAGGGGACCTAGTGGCGCCGCGGATTGAATCTGGGCCGCTTCCTGACTGCAAAGCCTCGCTGTCGTGAGCTGCCTCCCCTGTCCTGAACCGTGTTTTGAGGGTGGGCTTCATCCTCTTTTAAAGTGGAGGTGATTGGGCTAGAGATAGTGCAGTGGGTAGGACGCTTGGCTTTCATGTGGCATGGCGGATCTGGGCTTGATCCCCTGTCATCCCATCCATATTCCCGCGGCCCCCCTCTCCCGCCAGCACCAGAGTGGTTTCTGACTGAAAAGCTAGGAGTTACCCCTGAGCATCTGGTTGTGCCCCCAGAACCAAAATAAATAAATAATAATCATCATAATAAATAAGATGGAGGTAAACATCCATTTTACCGGATTGCACAGAAGAATCTATGTTGTAAAATGGTGCTGTATGTGCTTGTTCTTGTTAGGGTTTCCTCCTTAAAGGCTGCTTGGAGAGCCGCTCCACCTGGTCAAGAGGCCTGCAGCTCCTGGAGGGTGTGAGATGCCAGCTATTATTAGGCAGGCTCCCATTCTCACCTCTGCCTTGAGGGAAGACTCGGAACTGCATCTTGAGCTCTAGGATACTTCCCCACTTTCTGCTGTACATTTTGTTTTTGGGGGCCATACCTGGTGATGCTCAGGAATTGCTCCTGGCAGTGCACTGGGGACTATATAGAGTGGTGGGATCCAAATCCCGGTCAGCTGCATCTAAGACAAATGTCCTACCTATTATACTACTGCTCTGGCCTCTGTACACTTTACTCTGTAAATATTAGTATTGCTAAAACCCTCTGCTCATCTTTCCCTTCAGCCTTGAAACCTAAGTCCTGGATCCTCGACTCTGCCCTCTAACATATTTTTTAACAGTCACCAAATTCCTTTTCCTCCAAAATCTTTCAGGCATTTGTCTCTTTATGTTTGTATCACTGTGCTCCACTTTTCTTGTGGGGGAGGGTATGTGTGGCCCCGCTCACACTTCACTGTGCTCAGCTTACTTCTGGTTCTGTGCTCAGGGCTTGGTTCTGTGCTTGGGAGACCCTGTGAGGTGCTGGGAATTGAATCTGGGTCGGTTTCGTGCAAGGCAAGCATCTTAACTCCTGTCCTATCTCTCTGACCTGCCCCTCTGTATTTCTGGTCTGTACCTGTTTTGGCTGTTAGACTGTTTCAGAAGATAAGATTTTTGTGCCATCCCTTCAGTCCTCCCTGTTGGGCACATGTTGCCTCGACAGGGACACAGCTGCTCTTGTCACCCCCAGTCACCTGTTATGGCATAACACCTCCTCCTTGTGGAGATTCCTCCCTGAACTGCTGACATTTTACCCTGTGTCTACATGGGATGGTGAACTAAATGAACATGGAGTCTGGAGTCAAGACAGATGTGGGTTTGAACCCTCCTTAGCAGTCATGTGAATTTGACTGTTAAACTTTTCTGAGCCTTGGTTCTAACGCAGTAACCGAGGACAAAAATGTCAGTATGTGCTGAGCGTGTCAAAGTGGCTTTGAAGATGAGATCACGTGCCTATGGCAGCATTAAAAACCAGGCGTTTCCAGCAGGGCCTGCTCCACTGCTGTGTTCCTGTTCTTTTCTCTCCCCACATTTAAAGGTAAATCTTGGCAGCTGACTCTGGAGTCCCTGTGGCCAGCTTGTGTCCACTCAAAAACCCTGCCAGGTAAATAGGGTTTCCTTTATTTTTGGAGGTGCTAGCTGACCACTGCCTCTTCCTCTCTGAGCCTTTCACCTTACGTCTGACTCAGCAAGATCCCAGAATATTCCTTCCTCACGTCCCTTTCCCCCTCCACTTCATCTACTCCTCCAGACTCCCGGCAGTGCTCTCCGAGAACACCCTGGTGGGGCTACTTTCTGTGCACACCCCCTCACTGTACAGTTGACTCACACCCATGACTTCAACCACTCTCTAGGCACCTTTTTTCCAGATTGGGACCCAGGGCACCACACATGCCAGAAAAGTGCTCTCTGGCCACTGTCTAAATAGGATTCCCAAACCTATCTCCAGTTCATAACTCTACAAAACTCCAGCTAAAAATCCCAGCTACTCCTGGGGGTATCACTTCACTACAGCTTTCTTCCTTTTTGCCTCAGTGGCTTCCCTTCTCGCTTAGAATTGAGTCCAAAGTCTTTCCGTTGGACTTTTGAGTATGGGCTCCAGGCCTGTGTCCTTCTGTAAATGCCTTCATGGAACCAGAACACCTAATACATTGGTATCTGGCATCAGGAGATACTATGGGATTACATTTGGGACGAGAGGGAAAGCCCTTATGATGTGATAGATTTCTGTCCTTGGAAGAGAAATGGGAGGACAGAGTAAGAAAGCAGCCATCTGCAAGGCTAGAACATTCCTCACTTGATTCAAATCTGCCAGCACCTTGATCTTGGACTTCCTAATCTTTGTTTACTTATTTTTTTGCTTTTTGGGTCACGCCCGGCAATGCACAGGGGTTACTCAGGAATTACCCCTGGCAGTGCTCAGGGGACCATATGGGATGCTGGGAATCGAACCCGGGTTGGCCACGTGCAAGGCAAACACCCTACCCACTGTGCTACTGCTTCAGTCCCAGACTTCCTAATCTTTAGATTTGTTAAGCCAGTACTTTTTAACAGGTGAAAAATACGTCAAGGTTGGAGGGTTTATGATATTAGGGGGTTAATTAGTAGGACAAAGAGTCCACAAGATGGAAACAAACTTGGTGGGCACCTGGCTGGAAAAATGCTGAGAAACATTGTAAGCCCCTTTCTTGGTATTTATGTGTGAGGGCAAAACCGATGCCACGACAAGCTGCAGCTAACATTAAGTCTCAACTAGGCCTCAGTGTCTGTTTCTCCGGAGCAGGATTTGCAGTTTCTGGTAAACTCCCAGCTGAGTAATGTGCCTAGATAAGGAATTGGGCAATTAGCCAGTCATGAAGGGTCACTGTGTCCTCCTTAGAAACTGTTACTAACCACTGTCTAATTGCTGACCACTGTTGTATTAGGGCCGATGCTAAAAACAGACCAGTATGTCAACTGCTCTTAACTCTCAGCCCTATATAAACTGCTTGTGATTTGGAGTCGGGGTCCTTGTCAAGATTCCACTGAGTTGGACGAGACTTGGTCCCTAGCTTGAGCTACCAATGGCTCAGGCTAGAAATAAAAGTTCCTTTGCTTTTGCAGTATTGTGTGTGGAACTGGGTCTCCCCGCGATTGGGGTTCTGAAACTTGGGCACAACATATGGACCTGAACCAACACACTGCATGGGTCTTACTCCCATCTGGCCGAACTCACCCCTCCCATCATAACTCTGCTTTGCTCACTCAGGTCTAGATACTTTTTTTTCCTGGGGGTTTGGGGAGGGTGTAATTTGGGCCACACCTGGCAGTGCTAAGTGCTTGTTCCTGGCTCTTTATTTGGGGATCACTTCTGGTGGGGCTTGGTGGACACTATGGGGTGCTGGAGACTGAACCTGGGTCGGCTGCATGCGAAACAAGCACCTTACCCACTGTATTCTCTGCAGCCTGGAACTGGTTGTTTTGACCAGATTCGCAATCTAAACACCAATACACGTGCTCTCCAAACAATAGATTACAAATTGCTTGACCATTATCACCCCGCTCCCTACTATCCCCATTGACTGAAACACAGCCTTGTGGCCATGCTTTTAGTTTTACAACCTTAAGGCTGTGCCCTCCCGAGTGTCCACTATCTTGTCACCTCCTAACTTCAGGCTCCCCACCAAGTTTTACCGCCTCACAGCTCTCTGGAGATAGCACGTGCTGGAAACTTCCTGGCCTGCACCCGGGCAGGAGGCTGCCCAGAAATCCTCCTGCCATGTCTGTGGTGAACACCCACCACCTGGAAGATTAGGGTGGCATGTCTGCAAAAACACGTAGTCTGTCCTCCACATGACGAGCAGGCAGCTGTGCTTCCTGTCGCCGTAGCCTGCCTGCCTGTACTGTATGGTTCATGGCTTGACAATGATGCTTCAAATATCCACAGAGGGCCTGCTCCCTGCGGCCAGCCTGCCACACCTCTTGGCTGTGTGCTGTCACCTGCACGAACATGCCCAGCGACAGGGAGATGTGCCCCTAGTGCTGGGATGTGTGATGCCAGTACCTTGTGTCCTCGGCACGTGTGAGGGCAGGGACTTGACCCTCAGACACCTGGGTCCCACAGCTGAAATGTGGGATGAATTCCTCCTCAGGCCACCAGGGGCCACAGTCTCCCTTTGCTTGTGAAAACAAGGCAGAAAGACATGACGCCATCAGATTTTATTGGTCTTCTCGGCCTGCCTCGGCTTCGGCTTTGGAAGGGCTCTCTGGGTTCCTCAGCTTTTGTTTTTGAGCCTTTGCTGCAGCTTTCAAAGCCCTTCTTTGTTTCTTTAGTTTTTGAGTCTCCTGGAAAACCTGGAGATGGAGAGGCAGAGGAGGACGTTGTGAGCCTATGCAGGCGTGAGAGCGGTTTCCCCAGCCAGAGCCTGTCTCTGGAGCATACAGCCCGCGTACACCCAGCGCCACTAAAGGCTCGCCCCAGGCCGCTATGGGAAACAAGACCACCCGGCCCTCCTGCTCTCTCTGAGAGAGCCAGGCCCGTACCCGGATGCACAGCTCCTTCTTGGTCAGCAAGCGGCGGTGGGCTTTCCGATGGTGCTGAGGGGTGAAAGTGTACTCGATCCCCAGCACCTTGCACGTCTTCTCAAACACCGCGTAGTTGGTTTCCCGGAGGCTTTTGAGCATCTTCTTCCTCTGGTCAATGCTCATCAGCAGATAGCGCTTATGGGCTTTATCCTGGAAGACAGTCGGTATCCCGTAAGTACCACATGAATAAGGGGCATGCCACTTCCCAGCAACCAACGAGGGGCAGGTCATGAAATTTCCCAAGGGCGTCTGGCAAATACCAGTGTAGCACTGAGGGCGGTATTGTCATTCTCACCCGACATGTGGGCAAAATAAAGGACAAAGGTGTTTTCTGATTCAGCAAAGGCCCGAGTAGGTTGCAAGGGGAAGGGACCTGGTGTGTGGTTTGGTCTTGAATCTCAGCCTAGTGGTCTTAGCCCGAATCTCCTGATCCGATCTCTACAGCACCCACTGAATCTCACTGCAGCTCGCCCATTCAGCTGCGATGGACTAAGGCCTGGTGCTCTTTCCAGAACCACCCACAGCCAGGGCTACTCAGAGGCACCTCAGCAGCCTCTGGCGTTGCACACTCCAAATAAACAGACTTGGAGGGGACTGGAGCGATAGCACAGCGGGTAGGGTGTTTGCCTTGCATGCAGCCGACCCGGGTCCAATTCCCAGCATCCCATATGGTCCCCTGAGCACCGGCAGGGGTAATTCCTGACTACAGAGCCAGGAGTAACCCCTGTTGCATCGCTGGGTAAGACCCCCAAAAGCAAAAAAAAAAAAAAAAAAACCACACACACAAATAAATAGACTCAGAGCAGCAGCCTCACCGGCTCCAGGGACACAGTGCAGGTGCAGCGTGGGCTCATGGCCGTGTGTTTATGAAAACCCTCAGTAGCTGCCTGAGAGGGCCAGCGCTGTGCCTGATTCTGAGAATATGGTCTTGGGGGGTCTAGGAGACAGTACAGGGCGTAAGGCATTCACTTTGTATGCAGCCACAATGGTGCAAACCCCAAACTGCAACTGGGTCCACAGCAGCTGAGCACTAGCAGGCAGGGCCCCAGCTCACGAACCAGGTGTGTCTACCTGCCCCTCAAAGAAAAGAAAAAGAAGATGGCCTTGGGAGTGACACCACCCCACTTCAAGTCCCAGCACATCATTTCCTAGTTCTGTGTCTTGCCTTCAACCATCCCTGCCGGGTGATTTCTCTGAAACCGGGACAGTAAGACAGCTGTGTGAGCACAGTGAGCGGAAGCATGTTAAGAACCTCCCACAAGGCTTCACCATGTCGTCTGGCTGGGACTACCGGCCTTTGCAATCCTGCCCGCAGGTGCTATCAGACCTCCATTTGTAGATAAGAGGCTCAGACATATGAAGTAACAACCCGGAGGTCACACAGATGGCTGGGGGGGGGGGGGGGCGGGGGGCGGGGAGGGGAAGGAGGTGGGGAGAGTGGCAAGCTGCGATTTGAAAATCTGGCCCCTAATGACAGGGAGAGGATCCCGAGTGCCACACAAGTGTCAGAGCCCACTCTGCAGTCGGTCTTCTGGCCCTGCAGACACACGACACCAACCCGGCACTCCCGTTTCTCCAGGGGAGCAGGAGGGATGCATTATCTGCATTGCAGCTGAGGGGTGTACACCTGAGCCCTCTGTATCCTGCCTCTGCACCCCTGGCTGGGGCCTTGAGCTGTGAGAGGTGGCCAGGGTTTACCTTTCGGTGTTTCTGCATGTGCTCTTCGTAACTGTGGATCTTGACGGTCAAGGCAACAACTGAAACCACAAACCACAGAGGATGAGGACAGGGCTCAGAGAAGGAAGGGCCCAGGCCTTGGTTATGTGTTAAAACCTCGAGGAATAACAATAAGTCATGCTCTTATATAGCTAAGTTTTGAGATCTTAGTGACTGATTATTTTTTTTTTAATTTTTGGTTTTGGGGCCACACCTGGAAATGCTCAGGGGTACTCCCAGCTTGGTGCTGGGAGCAGGGGAGGAACACGTGGTGCCGAGTCTTGAACCTGGGCCTCAGGTACACAGTATGGACTCAGTTCTTTAAGCGCTGTCTCCAGTTCCTGGATTATCTTTCAAAGCCAAGTCCAAGGAAAGTCAGTTGCTCTATCTTACAAAGGTACAACTTCCAACCAAACATCCTTGGCTGGCTGGAAGTTATACCTTTGTAAACCTGACGTGCATTCCTGTTAAATTCAGGAGTTAGTCCAGGATGCATGTAATTGTGGCTACAGCTTCAGCACCACACTGGAGGCCCCAGAAAATGTATACAACGAGATTCCAAACTGTCAGGGGTATTCCTCTTGCCTCTCCCCTTCCAGTGACCACCTCTATCTCTGTTCTTCACTAACAAATTTCCACAGTGATCAACTCCTACTCATCTCCTAGAGTTCTAGAACAGCCTGTTTGGGGATTGCTCTCATTTGATTCTTGTCTGTATGGCAAAGATGGGGGCAAAGGCAGAAACAAGGAGTGCTAAGGGCAGCCGTCGATACAGCAGCCCCTTTCTGCAAACACACTGAATTCTGGGAGCCCTGACTGAAGTTAGAGGAACCCAGGCCATGATCACGTGGTCCCTGCACAGGTCCTCCATCAGAGAATGGAGCAAGGCAGACCCTGAGTATGACTGGGCTCCTGAGTTCAGAGGTTGGGAGCAGGAGCTGACACTGGTGCCAGCGCCACACAGCTCAGGACGTGGAGTCCAGCTGCTGTTGCCCGGGGTCCTTACGTCTCCTCCTTCCTCTAGCCACAGCTTTGCCCTGATGCAGCACAGACAAGGGCCCCAAATCAGGGACCCACTAGGACACTCCCATGCACAGCCCCTCCCCAAGGGCCCTCTGACCAACTTCTAGCCTCCAGGGAGCTGGTGTCTTCAGGGTTGGCCACGATCTGGCTCCTCAGTTGCTCCGTCTTGATCTTCTTCTTCTCTTTCTGTTGAAGGTGAAGACAGAGAAACACTGAGGGTGGGGCTGACTATCTGCTAAGACCTTTTGCACCTCCAAGGCCAAAGCAACATCCGGCCCTCGGTCTAACCTCACGCTAGCACACCTGGGCATGCCTCTGGCCAACCAGAAGGCTCGTCTCATCTAGGTGAGCCCAAGGCCAAAGCCAGGGGCAGAAATGACTTGTTGGGAGAATGTCCCTGAAGTGAGCACGTTCATCCAGACAGTGGATGTTTACTGGGCACCTGCTGCTGACCGGGTGCTTGAGGTACAATGGGGGAACAGGACTGTGCCCATCCTCAATGCTCTATCTGTGGATCTGGACAAGTGGACACAGAATGACAGGGGGACAAGTGCTGTGACTTGGGAAGTGTGGATGAGAGGAAGCCCAGAGGAGGCCAAGGGAGGCGGAGGTTTGGCTCAGGTCGCTCACCTGGTCGGCCATTTCCAAAGACAACAGTTTTTTCACGACATCATCAACCCTACGGAAAAAAACCAGAGCAATGAGAAAGAGGTGTGGGGCGGCAGCAGCCGGACTGTGGTCTGCTCTGCAGTGAGACACATCAACTCCATAATCCATTTCTTTCTCGAGTCACACTGCCTAGTGGGAGAGACCACCCAGCTGCCACTACACTGGACAGGAGTTGAACAGAATGATTTTTGCTGTTGCATCATTGAATCCAGATTTAAATACAGGTCTTTGGAGCTGTATGAAATTAGGTAGCTTGATAATATATAAAATGGGGACACTTTCGTCTCTCACGGGGCTTTTCAATTTTTTTTGGGGGGGCCATACCCGGCAGTGCTTAGGGTACTGTATGTGGTGTTGGTGATGGAACTGGGGTTGGCCACAAGCAAGGCCAAGTGCTACCCCACTGTACAATCTCTGGGTCTCTCTCACTGGGCTTTTGTGAGGATCAAGAGATGAGGAACTTCTACAAAGCCTTCCTGGTAACCGATGGTAAACCGAGGGTCTTCACCCAGGGTGCAAAAAAAGCAAGCAATTGAGTTCCAAGGGCTCTCTCTGCCTGCTGGGCCTCTATAATCCCCTGTCCCAGCCTGGAGGGTACTTGGCCAGAAGTCACAGTCTTTTCCCTCTAGGCCAGCCCTCCCAGGGCCCTCTGCCTCCACAGAGGGATTTCTTCCCACTTACCTGTCAATTCCAGGGACGTTCTGGTAGTCCTTGAGCAGCGTGGAAGGGGCTGGGTCAGCATCATGGCTGGGTGGTGCTGTCAGGCGAGGGATGGGCAACCCCCAGTGAGGCCTCCTGGCCCATCCTCCCAGGCACTGCTCCTCCCACCCTCTCCTGCCATCCAGGTCAACCCTGGACCTCTTGGGGCTTGGTTTCTTCTCTGCCAACCCTCGGGCACCCACCATGATATTTCATGCTGGGAGTTGATGGCTTTTGCCACCACGACCCACCCCCCAAATACTCCTGGGAGTCCAGAGTGGGTGACTCCCAGTCTGGCTCATGGGCCAACAGAGAACAGGTACTTAACAAACACTTGCTACTAGAGTGCATGAACAGAATAAGGATGGGGAGGGCTGAGGACGGAGTCCTAGCTTTGGGGCACCTGAAACGGAAGCACCAGAGTCTGCAGGAAACGCTGTCCTCAGGCAGGAGGGAGCGGCACAGGAAGATCACCCTGTCCCTCCAGTGCCACGCTGCTCTGACACCAACTGCACCCGACCCTTGACTGCCAGCCCAGCCGTTGTCAGGAAGCTTCCCCCGCGTCCCCCCGGAATCCAAGCACTTCTCCAACAGAGGCGTTCACACTCGTTGTGGAACAGCAGTACTCTGCCCCGTGCTACTCTGCTCGTTAGACCACCCTGCAGACAGACGGCCTTGCACGGGGCCACCCACACTCCCTCGGGCTCGCTCGGCTCCTCCCCACCCAGCACCGAGGCTCCAGCTCCCATGCTGCACCCGATCCGGGCTCGGTGACACGGTGCACGTGGGGGTTGGCCGTTAGCACGTCCGGGCAGCCCCTCACTCCCCCTCCTACGGTTCCAACGTAACAGCCTCTGCCCTGGTGGACGCCCGGCCTCCCGGCAGCCTCCCAAGCGCCCCTACCTGGCTTCTGCAGGGCATATCCGCGGGCTGCCTGGAGGAGGAGACCTGCAAGGAAGAGTCGCAGCTGCAGCGGGCGGGCGGCGCAGCCCCGACCCCGTGCTCCGGCTCCTGCGCGTGGCCCCCCGCCGGCCCATCTCTCCCCGCTCTCGGTGCCGCACCGCCTCCCGCCCCAGCCCCGTCCGCCCGCGCCTCACCTCGGCCGTGCGACAGGAGGTCCCGCGGGGCGCGCTCTCGGCCAGCAGGCCGCCCCAGGACGGCGGCGTCGGCCAGAGCGGGGCCGCGGACCCAACTCAGCGCTCGGCACGTCGCCCGCAGCATGGTGACCTTTAAAACCCCGGCGGTCGCGCCCGGGCCCCGGCGGCCTCTGAGGACGGGCTGGGTCACATGGGCGCCGCCATGATGGCCCAGTCCCGGCTCGTCGGCGCAGTCGCGAGACTAGAGTAGAAGAACGCCGAGAAGACGGATCGGGGGCGGAGCTTGCACGCGCGGAACCAATGGGAGGGCGCGCGGTCCGGGCGCAGAACCAATGGGAGGGTGCGCGGTCTGGGAGCGGAACCAATGGGAGAGCGCTCGGTTTGGGCGCGGAACTAATGGGAGGGTGCGCACCCCCGGCACGCGGGACTGGAGCGCTCGGACCCGCTGCTTGCCAGCGGTGTGCGGTGCTGTTTGAATTTTTCCCCTTTCCTTCCCCATTCCCCCCCCTACACACACACACACACACACACACACACACACACACACACACACACACACACTGAATTTTTCCCCTTCCCCCCTCACCCCCTACACACACACACACACACACACACACACACACACACACACACACACACACCCCGAGCGAGGGCACAGGGCACAGACCTAAAACCATGCTGGGATAAGCAAGAAATGGTTTTGTGCCTGGCTGCTGCTATATGATGGGCACCACTAACCAGATGCCCCTTCACCCAGCATGGGTACAAATACTGTGTAAATTTGAAGGCGAAGAACGCAGAATGTGGGATTAAGGGCGATGTGCTTGCTTCGCCTTCAATCTCAGTTATTTTTGGAGTTTCTTGGAACCCCGGCACCCCTCTGAACAACAATAAAGTCAAGAAGAAATCATTCTGACAACACTCCCTCTCCTCGCAGCAAAAAGACTCAGTCAGATACGCTTGGAGTTTCTCAAAGTAAATCTTATTAACAAACATTCGAGAGACTGAAATGCCTGGAAATAAGCGCGAACGGGTCTGGAGGAAGGATGCTCTGTTCTTTGCAGAGGGAAGAGGTGGGACAGACCAGGAGGGATGCTGGACCGGGAGCGTTGGTGGGATGGGTCTCCTTTCTGTTTTTCCTGGAGGCCGAGTGGTCTTTCCAGTCCAGGCCTTACTGATCTGACCCTCTTCTCTCCCGTGGCAGGCCCAGGTGAGGAGCTCCAAGAGCCCTAGAGACCCCCCAGCCCCTCCACACCATGAATCCGGAGCCCTTGTAAGAGGGGAAAGTCAAGCAGTGGTCCAAAGACACAGTCGTCCTCCTGGCTTGGGACCAAGGATTCCGGGGTCCCTAGAGGGCTGGCCTGGAACCAGAGATTCTCATAGGATTTGGGGCTGGGGGTGAAGCACTCCAAAAGAGGCTGTGTGGAGTCGTAACGGAGGTAGTGCCCTGGCCCTGGCACAGAAGGACTGCCCAGCACCTGCCCGTACAGGATGGGATCGCTGGAACTGGGCTGGGGCTGGAGCTGGGTGGCAGGGCTTTGGGGGTCCCCTTGGAGCACATAGGTCTGGACCAGGGTGGGGAGTGAACAGTCCTCCGAGCTGTCAGTAGGCTCACAGGGCCCTGGCTGCTTCTCCTCTTCCTCCATTACTATGATCTTGGTGATGGGGGCCATGCTGGCTTCTCGGAGGCTGGGCATCTGGAAGATCTCCTGGACACAAGGATGGCAAGTGAGGGCACGTGCATTTCCTCTCCGCCCCAGCCGCTGTGCCCTCTTGAGTGGGGACCATAGTGGAGCCATTCCCTGGGCTCTCTGTTGGAACTCAAACCCATTGCCCGCTGCTGTTCATTCTTAGCTGGGCACAGTGTGGGACTGGTCTCAGGCCAGAGCCAGATGAGCAAGGCTTTGAAGTGGGTAGAGCTGGGATGGAGATTCAGCTGGGATTCCGGAGGGAGGGGATATTGGCAGGAAGTGGTGGAAGGCCACCCTCAGAGGGCAGCCGGACCCTACAGCACCCTGCACCCCAGGACCCTCTCCCTCGGGGTTCTCACCTCTGTCATGATGGGAGGAACCCAGGAGCCCAGGCTGCTGTGGGCCGGGTCAGGGACAGTGGGCCAGAGGGGATTCTTCCTGCTGGAGAAGGAGGCAGGAGAGGCTGGATCACACAGGCCCGCCAGCTTTCCCCGCTTCCTCCCACTCACTCCACACAGCCAGAAGGGAGAAGCTCTGAGTGCAGAGAGAAAGTGGGGGCCCAGAGGTGGGGGAGGCAGGAAGGGGTTGGATCGGCTGGGGAAGCCGAGTTTCTGGCCTCTCGAAAGGACTTACTTGGGTTTGCAGTAAAACCAGCAACTTGTGCAGAGGCAGATGAAAAATAACAGGAAGCCTGAGAAGCCCAGGACGATGTACAGCGTCAATTCCTCTAAGATTTGAGGGAGTCAGAAGGGTACATGAGTGACACGGGACCTCTGCCTTCAGGCTGGGGTGGGGTCTCCTCCCTCAGACAGGCAGACCCAGGCAGAGCCTGTCTACTCTCAGCATGGATACCCCTTAAGTGAAGCACCTTCCCCAAAGTGGCCACCCCCGCCCTCCTCTCGGTACCTAAGGCCAGGGTCATCAGGGTGAGGCTGGTGCTGTTGGCTGTTCCAGCCTGGCTGGCAGCCGAGAGGTGGACGTGGTATAAGCTGGCTGGCTCGAGGCCTTGGAGGACACAGTCGCGGGCAGAGGCATTCAGGCGGGAGGCTGGTGCACAGGAGAAGGGTCAGCTGGGCCTGGAGGCTGGGGCTCCCTCTAACACCACGGCACACCCCTCTTACACCTCTGGGTGAGTGGGACTCACAGGAGGACTGTCCCTGAGCGTTGGTCCAGAAGATGGTGTAGTGGGTCAGGGGGCTCTTCCCCAGCTCAGGGGGCTCGGGCATCCATTCCAGATGGGCCCACGTCTTGCCAATGAGCCTCAGACGCAGCTGTGGGGCGCGGGAAGGGGCTATGGGGTGGGGGGAGTGGGGGAGAGTGGTGAGGGGTGATGAACAGAGAGCCAGGCAGGTGAAGGGCTGTACTTGTGGTTCCCCAGACCCAAGAGCTGGGACACCATGGGGTGAAGGAGGAAGAGGAGTTCAAGGGGCTTCAGCCCAGCCCCATTTCCGGGACCTGCCATTGAATTTCCTGCCGGTTTAATAGGAGGGCAGGACGGGGACCTGGTTCTCTGAGCAGAAGCCCAGTTACCTGAGTTCTGCCAGACACAGTAGGATCCTGCTAACAGGCCCACCCGGCGTCCCCATAGTCTGATTCCTGCACAGCCTGGTTGATTTCTGCAGGCACACTCTGATTTGGGCCGGCTCACTCCCGGTCCCCATCCCTCCCCTTGCTCTCTCCCCCTGCCTTCCCCTGCCGTGGAAAGGTAGGGAGGAAAATGGTCCTGCGTCCTCCTGGTCATGGAGGCCCAGGGAGACAGAGGCAATTCGATGGGGACTCGGGGGGGGGGGGGTTGTGACAAACCTGTCTCTTGGGAATAGGCAAAGATGTGCTGGGAGGGACCCCTGGTGTCCTGGTACAGGGGGGTCACGATGATCTCATAGAGCTGGAATGGCCTGATGTTCTCTGTGGAAGAGAAAATGGGGCAGAAGTGGGCAAGGGTGAGGGCTGAGCCCCGAGGCCAACTCGGTGGATATGCAAATTTGAATATATATATAAACATATGCATGTGTATTAATTTTTCACTCTATTCTAGTCCAGTGGTCTATATGTCTCCATTACCATACTGTTTGGGTTCCTATAGCTTTGGAAAATGTGAGTTCTCCAATTTTGTTCTTTTTCTCAGCATTGTATTAGACCTGGGCGGGGGAGGGGGATGGGGGTTCCAGGGATGGTCCCTGATATGTGTTCATCCATCAGTCTCCTAAATCCTCTCCATGAGGGCGGCTCGTTCCCAACCTCTGGCCAGGGCTCACCAGGCCTGTCTGTAGCTCTTTGCAACCTCTTCTTTAGAGCTTTGGCTGGGGTAAGAGAGGGAGTATTGGAGGTGGGGTGGGGGGAGCGAGGCAGAGGCAGGTCAGCGCTGTAAGGGGGGTTGGGCCAGAGGTAGGAAGGGTTTCCGATTCGGAGCACTTGACATGAGAACATTGAGGGGTGAAGAACAGCCATGGAGCCTGCTTCTCTGGGGCGGTCGGGCTGGCACTTGGCACTCAGGCCCTTCCTGCATCCTCCTGTCCAGAGCTGTCCAGTGCCCCAGTCTCCCAAGTCAGACTCACCCTGTAGCAGTGTCCCCGTGATGCTCCCGTTTGGCTCCATCCTCCAGCTGTTGTTGCTGCCGCTCGGGCTGGGGGGACCCAGGCCCCACTCAATCACATAGCCCCAAGGCTGAGGGCTGGGGGGCTCCCAGCCCACCCAGAGGCTGTGAGGGTCCTGGGCCAGGGTGTGCAGTCTGGCCAGTGGTGGGCCTGCAGGTAGAGTAGGAGGACACAGGATGTAGGGAAGAGAGCTCAGGCCTGGAATCACGTGTTAGCTTACAGGGGCTGGAGTAATAGCACAGCGGGTAGGGCATTTGCTTTGCACGCGGCCGACCCAGGTTTGATTCCCAGCATCCCATATGGTCCCCCGAGCACCACCAGGGGTAATTCCTGAGTGCAGAGCCAGGAGTAATCCCTGAGCATCACCGGGTGTGACCCAAAAAGCCAAAAAAAAAAAAGTAATTCACACGTCAGCTTACAGACAGGGGTGGGGGGAACTTGGCCACCTACTCTCTAAGTGATGCCAGGCCCCTGGTCTAATTTCTGTCACATGTGGTGACTGGTTTCTATTTCGCTTTCCTCATGGGTAGAACAGGATGATGATCAGAGAGCCCGCTGACCAGGGTCCTGGTACAGGGCCAGTCCTCTGCCCCATTTGGGGAAGACAGAGCATGATAGAGGTCGGCTCTGGGGGTGGGGGATTCCAGGGATGGTCCCTGACAGATGTTCACCCATCAGTCTCCTAAATCCTGTCCATGAATGGGCACTGGTGAAGGTACCGGTGTTTCACTGTATGACTGAGACTTAGACCTGAAAGCTTTGTAACTGCTCTCACGGTGATTCAATGAATAAAATTATAAAAAATGAAAAAAAAAGTAAGGTGGAGTTCATGCACAATTCAATCAGCTAATCAGTGGCTGAATAAATGGCAGTACTCCTACATTTAAAAAAAATAAATAAAAATAAAATAAATCCCCTCCATGAGGGCGGCTCACAGCCTGTGTCTATTTGATCAATGAGACAGAGAGGTTAAGTAACTGGCTAAGATCAACAGCCGGTGAATAGGCGAATTAAGTGTTACTCATGTTAGTCTCATTTAGTGAGGCCTCACCCTGGGGGTAGGGGTGGCTGATCCCCTGAGAATAAGGAGTTAACTCAGGGACCATATCCTAGCTAGAAAAACTTAGGGCTTTCTCTCCTGGTTTTGTTTTTGTGCCACACCTGGTGATGCTCAGATCTTATTCCTGGCTTTACATTCAGGGATCGCTCCTGGCAGTGCTCAGGAGACCAAATGGGGTGCCGGGGATCAAACTTGTGTTGGCTGTGAGCAAGGCAAACACCCGACCCACTGTACTATTGCTCCCGTGCCCCTCTCTCTCCTGTTTCTGTCAGAATAGAGCACGTGTATATGTGTGTATTTGTGTATGTTTGTGTAGGCAAGTCAGCAGCTTAACCTGGCTCTGGTCAGTGGGAAAAGCAGCTAACACCATAGAACTGCTACTTTGGGCCTGGCGTGTGTTTTTTGGGTAAGGAGTTGGGCCACACTTGGTGATGCTCAGGGGCTATTCCTGGCTCTGTGCTTAGGGATCACTCCTGGTGGTGCTCAGGGGACTGTATGTAGTGCAGATGACAGAACCAGGAGTGGCTCTATACAAGGGAAGCACCTTAACCCCAGTTCTCTGTCTCTGTCTCTGTCTCTGTCTCTGTCTCTCTCTCTCTCCCCAGATATGCGTGTCTTTTCTTTTCTTTTTTTTCTTTTTAGGCCACATTCAGCAGTGCTCAGGGTTTACTCCTAATCTGTGCTCAACAGATTATGCCCAATGGGGCCTGAGGGACCATGGGGGGACCAAATGGGGTGCTGGGGTTGGAGCTGAGATTGCTACCTGGGGGACAAATGCTCTACCGGCTGTACTATCACCTTAGCCCCTGCCTGGCATGTCTAAACCATGGAGTCTTCACAGCCACCCTTGGGGTTGGGTGCTGTGACTTCCCCATTTGCTAGATGAGTGACCTGCCCAGGTCTCACTGCAGCGTTTGGCAGGCCTAAGTTTGATCCCACGCAGTGTACGCCCAGGTCACTGCCTAACCACATGGACCCCCGACCCCCTTTACCTCGGCTGTCCAAGAAGACCACTGACGTGGGAGCAGAGGTCCCGGCCGAGTTGTATGCCAGCAGCCCCACCTCCCGCACGTGCCAAGGCAAGTGGAAGGTGCAGCCCAGGGCTGAGGTGTTGCAGAGCGTTATTGCCGCCACGTCCTGGCCTGGGGGGCGCCAGGAGACCACGTAGCCCTGGATCTGCCCACTGTCTTCCTCCAGGGGCACTGGCTGTGGAGGGCACAGGAGGAAAAGGAGAAGGCGATGTACGTCTGGAGTTGGGGGAGTCCCCCCCTGGGGGGAACGATGCAAGTCTCAGGAACTGGCCCGCAGCCTGAGGTCGCCCTCCCTCCCTGCTTCCCTCTGTCCCCGAGGTGAGGTGAGGGGCAGGGCTGGAGGACGGGAGGAGGGAGAAGGTGTCCCTCACTTCACAGCCACACCCAAAGGGCAGCAGGTCAATGGTCAGCCCACGGGGCCTGCTGGAGCTGCCCGCGTTGGGCGCCCAGGGCGGGGCTCCATCCGGGAGTGAAGGTGGCCATCGGAGAGGGTCACCTTCCAGAACAGCTGCACGGCCCCGGTGCCGGGGTCCCGCTGCCTCTGTCGCCGCCACCACGTGTCCAGCCTGATGACAGGAGCTGCAGTGGAGGAGAGTGGAGCCAATCAGGGGCTGGCCTGGCGGCGGGGGGGGGGGTGGGGGGGTGGGGTGGGGTGGGGTGGGGTGGGGTGGGGGGGGTGGGGGGGGTGCTGCGTCTTGCTTCTGCCCCGCCCCTCCCACCTACCCCGCTCTGCCGTGGTCAGCTCCAGGCTGGCGCTCCAGCTGCTCCAGTGACCGGGCAGGGGCGAGCGCACGCAGCGCATCTGCAGGGCGTAGGCGGTGGACGCGAGGAGCCCGCAGAGCTCATGCCGGAGGGTCTTGGAGAACAGGGGGCCCACCTGGTGGGGGCACAGCTGTGAGCCTGGACCCCGGGGCACTGGTGGAGAGCCTCCCCCACCGCCAACCACGTGACTGGGTGACTCTCTGCTCACCACGGTCCAGTTGGCCGCCACGCGGCGGGGCTGGTAGCGTAGCTCGCACTTCTGCTCCACGTACAGGCTTGACTTCGACACCTCCCAGCGCAGCTGCAGACAGCCTGGCTGTCGGGGGGCGCCCTCGGGGTGGGGCTCCAGGGCCCTCAGTGTGGGGGGCTCCAGTTTCGCTGCCAGAGAGGGGGTGCCAGACCATTCCCTGCCAGATCTGCTCGAGCCTCCCTCTTTAACTTCTTTCTCACTTGTGTTTTGGTGAGATCACACCAGGCCTCACACACACACACACACACACACACACACACACACACACACACACACACACACACACAGAGCGCGGGCTCCCTGCCGCTGAGCTAGAGGGCTGCCTTCGCTCCCTCTCGTGCCTGCCTGTCTGTGCCTGGCTTCCTCCCTGGAACCTTCTCTCGCCTGTTCTTGCCTCTACACCTCTCATCTCTGCCCACGGTGCCCCTCTGCTGTTAAGGTCTCTGGGCCAGACCCTCCTTCTGGTTGCTCTGTCTCTGGAACACTTTCCCTCTAGATGGCAGTGGGTTTCTCTCTCATTTCCTTCCAGGATCTTCTTCTTCTTTCTTTTTTTTTTGGTCACACCTGGCGTGATGCTCAGGGGTTACTCCTGGCTCTGCACTCAGGAATTACTCCTGGTGATGCTTGGGGGACCATATGGGCTGCCGGGAATAGGACCCAGATTGTCCCTACCCACTGTACTATTGCTCTGGTCCCATCCTTCCAGGATCTTCTTAAAGGTCACCTGGTGGGCAAGGCCTTTCCTGGTGCCCCTGCCTTGCCTTCATTTCTCCATCACACTTAGCATCCCCTGCCAGACTGTTGTTTTGGGCTACACCCAACTGGGTTCAGGGCTTACTCCTGCTCCGTGCTCAGGCATCACTCCTGGTGAAGCTTGGGGAACCATAGATGGTACCGGGCATCAGCTGTGTGCAAGGCAAATGCCTTAACCTCCGGGCTACTCTCTGGTCCACTGACAGTCTCTTTCTCCTCTTTCTCTCCCCCACCCCAACCGCCCTGCCCCCGTTTTCTACAAGGGCAGGGATTTGGACAGCTTGTTCACTGCTGCGTCTGCAGTGGTGCCTGGCACACAGAGGCACATGCAGGCCTGTGCGCGGCGACCCTTTGCCTGGGTCTGTGCCTCCAGCCCACCCGGCTCCCTGTCTCCTCTCTCCTCTCCTCCAAGATGTCTGTGCTTCACTGTGTCAGCCCAGGGCAAGAGGCCTGTCCCCTCCCTGGCCTTGGGTCACTCACCCACATCGCTGGGCATGAGACACAGTGGCACAGACTTGCTGGTGCCCAGCGTGTTCTCTGCCTGCACCCAGAGGCTCATGTTCTGGTACAGCTGCAGGTGTTTGCGCGGGATGGTGCAGCGGCTGTGCCCCGCCTCAGGGATGCAGTCCGGGAGAGGCGCCTCGGGGCTCTGGCAGTGGTTCCGCATCCTCGGTGTCGGCAGAGGAGGAAAGGGAGGTTTCTTCTGCCTCCCACCTTTGCCTCTGCCCCCCGGCCCTACCCTGCCCCAGGATTGGCGGTGGATGTGGGCGGCGCGGGGGCCATATCCCAACTCACCGGATGCTCTTTAGGGTGAAGTTAGTGGGCAGGGAGGTGTCGGGGCCCGGATCCCACTGGCAGGTGAGGTTGTTGGTTGTGATGTTCATGAAGCAGGACAGGTTGTGGGGCGTTGGAGGAGGGTCTGTAAGCAGGGAGAGAGAGAGCCAGGGCTTTGCGTAGGACCCCTCAGACACCCCCCTGCGCCCCTGCCCAGGGCCTCACTCCAGGTCATTTCCTCTGTGGTGTCTGGTCTCTGCTCCTGCCCCTAGATAGGGTGGCCCTGGAGAGGAGGGGGTCTCTGACTCGAGCCTCTGATTCTTTTGTTATTATTACTATTATTATTATTATTATTGTTATTATTTTTGGGTCACACCCAGCAGTGCTCAGGGGTTACTCTTGACACTGCACTCAGGAAACACTCCTGGCAGTGCTCAGGGGGGCATATGAGATACTGGGGATCAAACCTGGGTTTGCTGTGTGCAAGGCAAGCACCCTCCCCCCTGTACTCTTGTGCCTACCCCCACTGTGATTCTTTTGTTATCATAGTGCTGGTTGCTGCTTGGGGCAGGGGGGGTCACACCTGGAGTCTCACATAGGCAAGTCATGTGCTCTGTCACTGAGCTACATCCTCAGACTTATAATTAGTTTTTTTTTTTTTGGTGGGGGACAAGGGTTGAGCCACACCTGGCAACACTCAGAGGTTACTTCTGACTGACTCTCACTCAGGAATTATACCTGGCGGTGCTTGGGGGACAATATGGGGTGCTGGGGATTGAAACTGGGTCAGTCACATGTCATATGCAAGGCAAGTGCCCTACCTGCTTATATCTCTCTGGCCCCTTATAATTAATTCTTAACCAAATGTTATTCTCTCCCTTTTCCTTATGCACTGACTTGACACAAACTCACCTTTCAGTCAGAGATCAGCATGGACATGGCCCTCCCTGGGTCCAACTCCATGGCCTGAGAGGGTAGACTGGGGAGCCATATAGTTTTGGTTCCTGCCTTGGCTGCTGAGTCACACTGTGTGCATGACTAAAGTCTGGGCTTCCTGTTTAATAGTTCATGATCTTTAGCAAGTTACTTACCCATGCTGGACCTTAATTTTCTCATCTGCAAAATGGGACTCAGTTGCACCCCTATCAGTAGGAAGATGACTTGAAGTGATGCCTGTTAAGTACTCATTGAGCAAGTGCTCACTCAAAAGCAGCTTGTACTGAGGTGCTAGAACCATAGTACAGCGAGGAGGGCACTTGCCTTGCACGAGGTTGACCCAGGTTTGATCCCTGGCTTCCCATATGGTTCCTTGAGCACCGCCAGGAGTGCTCACTTCTGAGCATTGCCAGGTGTGGCCCAAGAAGCCCCCTCCCCCCAAAAAAAACCACCCAAACAAATAAAAAACCCAAAACCTAGCAAGCAAGCAACCAACCAAAAAAAACAACCCCCCCCCCAAAAAAAAAAACCCAGTAGCTTGCACTGGCATTGGCAAGTGGGCTTTGGGGTGAGAGCACGTGGTGTGGGTGTGGAGGGACTCACAGCCTGCCCGCAGCTCAGCCTGGTCCAGGATCTGCAGGTGGTTGCCCCAGAGCAGGCCGCAGAAGAGCAGGGCCCGGGGGCGGTCGAGTGGGGGCAAAGTGATGGTAGATTCCTGGCTTCCGTCTGGCAGGCGCTGCTGTCTGCCACCAGTTTGAAACTCAGCGTCCAACTTCCACAGAATCTCTGAATCGCGGTCCACGTGGAGGCATTCCTGACTGATGGCGCACGAGGCTGTGACAGGGTCCCCCAGGAGCACAACGGGCTTCGAGAGGTTGATGTTCCCGCACTGCTCCAGGCCTGGGGTGGTGGAGAACCAATGGGCTTGCGTGAGCCTTTGTCTGGCGCTTGCCCCAGAGGTTCTCATTCTCCCAGGCCCCACCCCAAGGCCTGGGGACTGCGACACAGACAGTGATGCCCGGTCCCTGCTGGTTGTGGGGGGACACTCTGATGATCTCCCAGGTGACTGCCTGTGGCCTCAACTACTGCAGACACCCAGGTGAACAGCTGCCCTCTGATGAAGATTGTCCCCCAACCCTCCCCAGGGATGGTGAAAGCAATGATCTGATAAGAACAGCCCTAAGAACCATCTCAGCCACGGCCGTCTTCTCAGAACTCACATGTGGCTGCCTTTCCCATTCTGATGGCAGCATCGTCCATGGCCTGCCTGCCATCACCCTGGAAGGCAGCAAGGCGTAGCAGGTAAGGGCACCACTAGGCTTCAGCTGCATCTCCACCTAGAGCCTGTTTCTACTACTTATTCACTAGTTGGCCCCGGGGAGGTTGAGCAGACATTATACCTCAGTGCTCTTATCTGCAGAATGGGCATGAGGCCATCCTGTTTACTGTTCCTGGAAGGACTGGCAGGGAGAGGGTGTATAAGGGACTCCGAGCAGCCCTGCCGTGGAAGGATTTGCTGTTCTGGGGTGTGTGTGTGTGTGTGTGTGCGCGCGCGCATGCACACTTGTGCATGTGGGTGCTTGCACATGTCCAGATCAGGCTAAACCCTGAAGTTCCCAAAGCCTTTCTCTCTAATTATGAGGATTTGTGTGACTCCCATAGTTGCTGTTGCTAGACTGAGGGTCCTTGAGGCCTGATGCCTTGGCTGCCTTGCTTGATATCGTATTCCCAGTGCCTCACCCGGGCTAGGGAAGTATTGAAGATGTGTTGAACAAAGAGCTAAACAAATAAGCACCCACTCTGCCCCTGTTGAGGCTCCCTTGTGGCTTCTTCCCTTGCTTAGGTTTTTTTATTTTGGCTTTCTTCATTTTTAGGCCACACTTGGTGGTGTTTGGCAGTGCTCTCGGCTCAGTGCTTGGGGATCGCTCCTAGTATGAGGGTGTCAGCATCCAGTGTGCAAAGCCTGAACGCAGCCTGTGGAGTCCCCGCCAGCCCTCTCAGAGGTTCTTGGGCTGCTTTGTTGATGGGATGGGGCAGACCCGAGAGCAAGGGCCATTTCTCTCAATCCCCAGGACAAGTCCCAGGCTCCCTTTGTGTGGCCCCGCTCTACCTCATAGACTCAGAATAGCAGAGTGGGGAGATCCTTGCAAAACTGCTGCAGAAGCAAGACTCGTACCCAGAAAAGAATATGCAACAGGACCACGGGGCCCGCAAACCCTAACTGTTGCAAAGTGTGCGTCCCAGCTTGTGGCCCCAGAAGCTGGAGGCCCTGATGGCTCCAGAGAACATTTCCTCCTCTCAGGAAGTACCCGGCCTCCTGCTGCCTCCCCCAGCAGCTCCACGGGCCCAGAGGCACCCGCGGCAGAGGTCTGCAACTGCGCTCGAGGCCCCCACCCCTCCAGTTCCCAGGAAGGTGGTTTGTCCGCCACTGTCTGTGAGTGGGAGTCTGGCCCAGTCTTGTGTCCCAGGAGATTCCCTGGGATTCCCCCTGGCAGCAGTGCAGCAGCTCTGGGAAATGAACCTCCCTTCTGGGATTCTCTACCCTCCCCCCCCATTTCGCCCTGAAACACCCCTTCCCACAGCACCCACTCCCAGCCATACTCACTTCTGGGGAGCAGCAGGATGATGAGGGCAGCTCTGGCCAGGTTCCCAGGTCCCAGCTCTGCCATGGTGCCAGTTTGGGGTCCACCTGGAGGCAGAGGGCGCGGTCAGGCTGGGGACTTGGGGCCAGCACTGAGCTTATGTTTCTCCCTGCCCCAGTGGAGCTCTGGCCAGGCACTGGGCACTTCCAATCTGCAGAGCAGATGTAGCAGCAGCCTACACTGCTTTGGGTTTGGGGAAGAAGCTGCAAGTCTGGCGCGGGTCCCTTGAGTGACTAAGGGATGGCCACCGCTTCAAGAACCTTCCGGGAGGGAGCAGGGGCAGGGGCAGAGGGACCAGCGTTCCTTCCCCTTCCTTTTGAGCTCGGCTGGGTACCCCCTAGCAAGGAGAGCCCAAACACGGGGCAGGCTTGACAGCCAGTTTATTCTGGGAAGGTCCCAGGAGCTGAGTGTGGGAGAAAGCCCACCCAGGGCCTGTCACCGGGCTGGTCACCTCTGTGATCCACAGGCTCGAGCCTGCTGTCACCTTCCAAGGAGCTGCACAGGACACATCTCAGAACTGGGCATCCAGAGAACGATTTATCCCCTGGCTGGGGCAGAGGAACATTTATTCACTGGTCCCTACCGCCCATTGGTTAAAGCATGTCCCCTGGCGTATGGACTGCCCGCATGGTCGGTTTGCACATGCATGAATGTTCCCGGGGTAATGAAGCGGACTAAAGACGCAGGAGGCCCTGGGGAAGGCAACAGCTGCCTGGGGAGGCCAGGCAAGGGGCCCCTATGGGCGGTGGATATGGGTGGGCACAATGGGGTCCGGTTCACCCTGAGTTCTAGGTGAAGACCTCTGGGGGTGTCTGTGGGGAGATGTGCGGGCGAGGGGAGTGAGCTGGTCTGGAGGAGTAGGCAGTAGGCAGAGGTGCCCACTGCAGGGCTTGGCGTCCAACCTCCCTGTCCCCCCTGCTCCTGTGGGGGCCTCCAGCACTTCTTGCACTGCTGGGGGTCTCTGTGCAGGGGCCTCTGGTCAGCCTGTACGGCCAGGCAGGGGCTCCAGCCTGTGTGCACAGGGAGGAAGCATCTCTGCTCCTCTCTCTCCCCTTCCCCGCCCTGGGCTGTCCCTGGATGTGGTTGTGTCCTGGTGGTACTGGGCTGGAAGTTTCTGCAAATCAGCAATGTCATAGCACCACACAGGATGGAGGTCACTCTGCATGGTGTCCTGGCCCCCAGGAGCTGGCTGGAGTCCACCCTCGTCCCCTCTCAGCCCCGAGGCTTTGTTCAGTGAGAAGCCTGCACAGCTGCACCAAGCAGTCTGTCTCCGGGTCAGTGCTGGGCCACTCTCTGCCCGCAGCTGCCCACTAGACTCTGCAACCCTGCAGGGAGATTCAGGTTCCGAGACCCAGATTTGGGGATGCAAATTCCACCTTCATCTATTGTTAACTGTGTCCTGGGAAGGGCAGCTTCAGGCCCAGCCTGTGCCCTGGGAGGTGCCCTTCCTCCTTCTCCACCCCCAGCCCCCAAGCCCCCAGGCCTCCTTCCCAGGCTGCTGGGGGCTGGCACGGGCAGTCCATAGGGCCTGTAACCCTGGCTGCCCCTGCTTGAATTAAGTGGATCCCGGGGCCCACTGGAGCATGGGATGTTCTCTGGGGGCCACTTTGCAGAGAGGCTGGAGGGGCAGCTCCCAGTGAGACCCTCTGCTCTGCTGGCCTGGCCACTTACCAGTTTCGCGACCTTGGACAGGTTACTTCACCCTCTGGAGCTTCGGTTTCCGCATCTGTGAAGGAGGGACAGGGATCATTCCTGAGGCTTTGGGGGAGGCAGGATCCAGATCATCAGTGATAAGAGCACTGGTCAGGGGCCCATGTGGGAGTGCATGCCCTGTTCCCATCCCAGCCTCCTGGGCTGGTGGGGTGACATCAGAGCCCTCCTGGCCCTTCTGGCTCCTTGACCCCACAGTTTCCTCCAGTCAGATGCCCCTTACTCACTGATTCCCAGAATGCCCCCTGACCCACACCCCTGCCCCCGGGAGTCACTGCAATCACACCCCATTTTCTGACTCCCTGCCTCTGCACAACACCACCTCTACCCCTCCCTTCTCCTTCTCCACCCATTCCCGCCATCTCCCAGTTCTCTATCACCCCTGTTCTCAGAGTTCTCAGAGTCTCAAGAGAGAGAGAGAGACTTTGGAGAGGGTATGTGGGGAGAGGGAGGTAGCAGAGTCAGGGAGAGCAAGGTGGCAGGGGTGAAGGTGTGGATGGGGACAGAGGGAGGCCCGGGGAGCCGGAGCCAGGGACGGAGAGAGAGAAGCCCAGCGCAGAGATCAGAGGCCCAGGAGCCTTAGAGTTTGAGATTGAGGGGACCGGGAGGAAGCAGGCAGGGGCTGAGCGTGGGGCTGGGCCAGGCAGGGTCAGCGAAGGAGAGCAGCTGAAGGGGGGTGATTCTGTCCCCTGGAGCCCAGGGTCCCCAGCACACCTGCCTCTGCATCTTCCTCACATCTCTTAGGGAAAGAGTGTCCTGGGGCTGGGGCCCAGGGACAAACCCTAGAGGCAGGGACCCCTGGGCTGGCTCTTGACCGGACCCCTGGCAGACCAGGAGGACTGGGCCTGGACTCAGGCTCCAGTGAATCCCCACCCGTTCCCGGGGGCTCCCCTACTCACATTGGCACCCGCGGGGCCAGCACCCGCCGGCCCCCTGGCCTCCCTCTCCTCCTCAGGGCAGGTTCCTGAAAACGGTTCAGCGTCTGTCCCCAGACCCAGGGCAGAGGATTGCGACAGCGCCCAGCCACCCTCCTGCTGGCCCTGCAGCCGGGTAGCCCCTTCCTCCCAGGAAGGAGGCGGAGGGGAGCTGCAGAACCCCCCTCCCCAGGCCCTACCATCCTTCCTGCCCTGGGGGTCTTACAGGGGCGGGGGGATGTGGCAATTTTGTCCCCCTCCTCTGCCTCCGGATTTCCTGACCTCAGAACTCTGAGGCTGGCCAGGGCTCAGGCTCCAGCATGGCTGGGTGTCCTTCCTAGCCTTCCACCGCTCCCCGTTCCCCGTCAACGAACTTTGAGGAATATCATTGGGAGACAGACCTGGCTCGAAGGCGGGCCCTGCCCTAAATCTCTTTTTGTCACTTAACTGTGGGACCCAGATCCTCACAATAGTCAGGGGGGTACTTTCCAGGCTCCAGGGGATTTTATAACTCTGCCTTCTTCACAGGCTCCCTCGCATAGCCCAGGAGGATGGAGAAATGGGGACTCTGGGAAGAGGCGTGAGTGTCTTGTATGCTCGCTGGAAACTAGGAACGCCCTCCCCAGGGCAGTGCTCACGTGCTATGGTGAACACTCTTGTTGGTTTTGGGGGGCCATACCCAGAGGAGTTCTTTAGGGGGTTCCTTCTGGCTCTGTGCTTGGAGATGGGGGAGGAGGATCCCGGGGTGCCAGCAAGAGAGTCTGGGCCTCCTGCTTGCTCAGCATGTGCCCAGCTGCTGAGCTGTCTCCCTGGCCTAGATTCACTGCTGGGTTGTTTATTGGTTCTTTGCGTTACTAGGGATGGAACCCAGGGCCTCCCACATGTGAGGCAAGCGCTTACTGCCTCCGGAGCCACATCCCTGGCCGAATTCTTTAAAACATATATATTTACCAAAAGAAATTTAAATTTTTGAGAAATCCTATGGCTTTTGCATATTTGCTTTTGCAATATTTATGCATGTGGTTTTTGCAAAGCATTTTCATACAGCATGGTTTTGTCATGAAACACAGCTAAAAGCCAGCAGGTGAATCATTTTAAGGACTATTATTTTTCTTTGTTTTTTTCCAAATCCGTAGAGCTAGGAGACTTGTTACAGTTTTGTCATGTCCCACAATTTATTCCTTACAGGATTTTTTGTTAATTGAGGTAAAGTAGTTTACAAGTTTCTGCATTATTGTTGGTTCCTTTCGGACTGCACGGAAATAGACTCCACTTCATGACGCCCATACCCTGCTCTTGTTTCTTGTTTACAAATCATTTCAGGGCACTTTTCCTTTTTTCCCTCCCTCCCTCCCTTCCCTCCTTCTTTCTCTCTCTTGTTTTTGGGCCATACCAGGTAATTCTCAGGGGTTACTTCTGGCTCTGCGCTCAGGAATTACTCCTGGCGGTGCTTGGGGGCCATATGGGATGCTGGGGATTGAACCTGGGTTGGCTGCATGCAAGGCAAGTGCCCTGCCCACTGTATTATCTCTCTGACCCTGTGACTAAAAAGTTGGGAGAGAGAAATGTCCTTTAAGCCAGTATTACCTGCAGAGCCCTCTGATGGCTTACATAGCTGATTGTAGTAGCCCCTTCCCTCATCCTTGCTGATTGATCAGAAGCCAGTCCACGCGATCCTCTGCCCTGGCACCCCAGGGGCCTCCCTCAGAATTCAGGCTGGCTCCAGCCACACTTTGGCTTGTTCCCTGACCTCTCAGGCTCCCTCCAGCGCCCAAGCCTTTGATCTGCCCTTTCTCTGCCCACCCCTTTCTGCTGGGGCTTTCCCCCTCCGCTTCTTTGCACTCTAGCTCAAAAGCCACCTTCTCTTTGAGGTCCCCTCTGACCATCCCTGTCCTGCCCCCTCCTCTATTTTCCATCTCCCCTTCTGCCGACCATCCCTACGACTTCCTGTCCTGTGGACCCCCACGCTCCAACTGCATGTCAGTGCAAGTTCTATGGGGACTGAGGGCAGAGTCTGTTTGTGTAACAGGATCCTTGGCATCCATGCCACTGCCTGTCTCACAGTGAGCCCATGATGCGTGTTTGTGGAAGAAATGATTGAGCGATGGATCTCCCACTTCACCAAACCTGTCCCTATCCCGTGTGCCCCATTCCTGGTCCAGGTGAATGATCCTGCCAACCCTGAGTCCTGTCTCCTATCCTGGGGGCCTTGGTGTCAGTGCTCAGTGGCCCCTCTTTCCACAGCCAATCAGCTCAGCAACAGGAGATAGATCCTTTATCATCACTGAGAACACATGGCCGGTGACAGTGGTCAGCACAGGACTTCATTTGTTTGTTTATTTATTTATTGGCTTTTTGGGTCACACCCGGTGATGCTCAGGGGTGACTCCTGGTTCTGCACTCAGGAATTACTTCTGGTGGTGCTCAGGGGACCATATGGGATGCTGGGGATCGAACCTGGGTTGGCTATGTGTGAGCAAGTGCCCTACCTGCTGTACTATCGCTCTGGCTGTTTATTTTTGACATTAAAAAAAAAAAAACCCCAAATCACTGTGAATTATAAATTCACAAAGATATTTATGACTGTGTTTCAGACGTATATTTTCCAACACCAATCCCTTCACCAATGCCCACTACCCTCCACCAATGTTCCCAGTTTCCCTCCTGGGAAGCCAGGAGCCTACCTCAATGGTTACTGTCACTGTCACTGTCCTCCCGTTGTTCATCGTTTTGCTCGAGTGGGCCCAGTAATGTCTCCGTTGTGAGACTTGTTGTTACTGTGTTTGGCATATCGAATACATCATGGGTAGCTTGCCAGGCTTTGCCTTGCAGGCGAGATACTCTCGGTAGCTTGCCAGGCTCTCCCAGAGGGGTGGAGGAATCGAACCTGGGTCGACCCGGTTGGCCATGTGTAAGGCAAACTCCCTACTGCTGTGCTATCGCTCCAGCCCACCTCAATAGAATTAAAATTAAAATTTTAAAATTAAAAATGGTAGGCACTTATTTTTTCCAGTTTTTGGGACACACCCGGAGATGCTCAGGGGGGTTACTCTTGGCTCTACACTACCCTCCTGGCATTGCTCGAGGGGCCATAAGGGACGCTGGGGATAAACCCCTTGGCCATGTGCACTGCTGGCACCTACCTGCTGGACTGTCTCTTAAGCAACTAAGGGCCATGTTCCACTCCCCCAGTGTCCTAGTGTTCCCTTCCCTAACTTATCCCCTTCACCCCGCCCCAGTGGCAAGCTTCCTATTGAAGACCTCAAGGAAAGCTAAAGTCAGGCAATTCACTGCAACGTGAGTGGATCTGGAGAGTGTCTTCTTGAGTGAAATCAGTAAGAGGAGAGGGCAGACTCCCATGATCTATCTCATGTATGGGATATGAAGAGTGCAGAGCTTTTTATAGCTCACATATGCAGAGTCTGGCTGGGATGCTCAGGCTGGCTGCCCTTCTGCCACTCTGCAATTCTCCTCTGCTCCTTTTGTCACCCCCTGGATCCTTACAGAGATAATCACACCCCCTCCCACCCTACTCCCCGCCTGCCCTCTCCATGGTCTGTCGCACTCCTGTCTGATCTGCCTCTACTTTCCCAGAGGCACCACTTCCTGTTCCAGTCTTGTCAGTTTCCTGGCATAGCTCTGCTCGCCCTGACTTGGGGCTTTGGGATCTCTCTGTGTGTTTGCTGTTGTTGATTCCTGCTGACGCTGGGCCCTGCCAGGGACACCCCACCCTGGAGGAGTAGCACTCCAGCCTTGGGCCCTGGGAACCAGCAGTCTCCCTCTGCTGCCAGCCTGTGCCCTTGGCTGCCAGTCTGCCTTCTTCTGGACTGGGAACTTCCTGAGGGCCAAGCCCAGGGTCTCCTGTCTGCCTCCAGCCTCTGCACAGGGCTGGCCACTCAGGGAGACTCAGAGCCTAACCATGTGCTGGGAAAGTTTTCCTGTGTTTGTTTTTGTCCCACATCCAGCAGTACTCAGGGCTTTCTCCTGGCTCTGTGCTCAGGGATCACTCCAGGAGGTGCTCAGGTCCTCTATAGGATGCCAGAGATTGAACCTGGGCCAGCTGTGTACAAGGCAAGCACCCTACCCATTGTA